CTAAATTCAAGGTGGCCTGAGACCACGGTTTGCTGCCCTAAAACACTCTGTTCAGGCTATCTTGAAAATAAAGGTGTAGTTGGCACCTTGCTAGGTATAGAGACCCAGGGTAGCTATAGTGCAGCTACCAGGTATAGTACTTCAAGTTCCCTTTCCGTCAACCGCTCGATAGCCTCTACACACGCACAGCAATCCACAGCTTTGAAGTCTCATTCGTGCTTTGAACTTGTGTAGGTGTGTAAGAGGTATAGCAAATAGTATTTATACGGACCCAGGCTAGCTTCAGAAGAGCACTCCGATACTTCACTTATAGCACTCCTTGAAGAGCATGAGTCGCTTGCGCATAGCCACCAGAAACAAAGGATCTTAGTCTTACTGGAAGTGGAATGAAACACCGGGACCTTCAGAATGACCTCTTTGGAGTCTCCAAGTGACCTCATTCGGGACTAAGTGACTAAGTGACCTCATTCTGGGATCTCGGACGGTCACTTTGAAGGTCCTGGTAGACACCAAATGATGTCAATGTGGATAGATTTGGCTACGGCCTAAAACATCGGATTCCATCCAAACCCCCCCCTGTGCAGAGGAAAAATCCGGGCAAAATGACACCGAACCCCTCAATTGCCAGGAAGCGCAGGTTTTTGTTTTGACATGGTTACCTCTGTGTGGGCAGAACAAGACATGAAGCAGATTTGACACGCGGCCGCAAGCAGCTGCGCGAGCTCATTTGCTTGCTTCGACGCGCAGTTGTCGAGAAAGGGAAGCGCTGGCTTTCGTTTTGCAGCTTCTCAGGTTGTAAGAGAACCAGGAAATCATGAGCAGATCACACCACATCCGAAGAAAACCATCCAATCTCCATCTCGGTCGACCAACCCGGTCGACCGAGATGGGAACCGCCCCCTCCTTTCGCGCTCGCTCGCCTTCCTTCGGACGAGCCGCGGGGAGGTGCTTCCTTGGACGTCGCCGACCAGAACGGCCGCACCGCGCGACCCGATGGCATCCGCGCCAACGAGCCGACGGTTGGACACCCGCGGCGCAGTGACCGGTGACGCCAGGAGGTGGTTGGAACCCCAAAAGAAACCACGGACACCACGAAGCCTGCGAGAAAACGAGGAGCTTTGGAGAAAAAAGAGCTCAAACAACTGGTTTGTTGGAGTTTGTAGGCTGGTTTTGCTGCTCTGTGTCTTTTGCTTGTTGGAAGATGTTCAGTTTTCCCCAAACACTTCCATGAAACCCTATGGATTCATAGGCCAAACACAACACCTGACACACCTCTTAGTGGGTTTTTTTCACGGCTGGGCGAGTGCGAGAAAGGCCGTGATGGGTCGAAGCGAGGCTCATGGTGGCTGCAGCGAGCGGCCAGTGCCACGGCCACCAGTGGTTCGGGCTGCCGTTCGGGCAGAAGGAAGGCGGAACCTGGATGGGGAAGACGATGATCTACGTTGGATCTTGATTAGTCCCTAGGGCTCCAACCATATCCTCAGGTTCGGTGGTTAGACCCCCCTGGCACCCACCCCAACCATCTTCTCAGGAGGTGGTTGGAGCCCTAGGGAGTAAAGGGGGGTCCCACTAATCACTAATCAGCGTCCAGTCCATGATCTATGTTCATGTCCAGGGTTTTTGCACTGGCCTATAGATTAAAATAGATTAAACAGATGTTCAGAGTTGGTTCGAACGTCCTCTTTTCCATGTCCAGTGTCCAGTTTTGGGGGATTTCGGATATTTGGTCGTCAGACAGGAGCTGGGCTCGGGTCCCATCTCCTCAGGCAGGAACAGACCCCAAGCATCTTCGTTTCGGAGCCCGGCACGGACCAGATATCCCAGACAATCCTTGGAGTCATACTGTGCTGAACACACTAGTTACATTGACTCCTTTTGCCACCACTCCTTACTACTAGGCTGCATTGGACAATTGGAACGTTCTTCTTAGAATGCTGAACGCCTGGTTCTGGATGGTTTTCATGGTTGGGCTCCTGGCAATTAGTGTGTATCCAACCAACATGGTTTGGTTGAAAAGCTGCATTTCCTGGGTCTTCAACGACCTTTTGATAAGATGTTAGGGGATGGGTGCCAGGAGTGTCTAAATACCTTTCCTTGAGCTGAGGTTGTCATTGGAGCCCTTTGAGGTTTGAAGAACGTCCTTCCGTGAGGGGGGCAGTAGTCCACGTCCATGTTTAGAGGGGTGTGAGATCTCATTCAGGACCTTGCCCTATTGCCATACCCCCCCAAAGAATGCACCTGAAGACTCTGAAGACCAATTCTCCGCGTCGTTCCGCCGCTGAAGACTTCCACGGTAACGGCGAGCAGCCGATGGTGTGAGGGTGCTGCAGCCACTATCGGGCGTGCTTTCTCGAGCATGTCGCAAACAGATTTGTTCAGATGGAGCGGGCATTTATGGGCATTTAGAAGTGGCTACCAGCCACCGGACCACCATCAATTCAGATCTTCTCAATATTCGACAGTTCGTTTTCCCACCGCCATCGCCACGGCGATGTAGCCACCAGTTTCATTCAGTGGCAGTCTAAGGTTGCGCGTATTATCACATATATAAGTTTGATAATAGAACTCCATTCGGATTGAAACACATTTTCATACAGATTTTTCTGTTTGAGAGTCTACAGTACTACACCATGCATACTAGTCCAACTCTCCAACCGAACATGTGTAACTTTCGGGCTCCCCGAAAAGGAACATGTTGATTTGCGTGCCCTCAACTCTGTTTTCGATGCCCATAGGTACGGATCTTGTATTTTTATTAAACCATTTTAAAGCCACAGCAGTTCCGGCTGCGTGCTTCATATCCAGGCTTCTAGGGACCACTAAACACTCCACCCCGACCATGTGACTCCTTGGTACGGAGGTGCGACATCGGTGGATCCACTGGCCACGTGATCAGGTCGGCGGCGTCGGGGTGGCTCTTAGCGAAGAAGGCGGTCAGGACCCCCAGCGGGTGGTGGATGCGGAGCAACCCGGAGAGGAACAAGAAGCTACTACTTGTAGGGGTTCCTGTCCTCACTAGGAGCAAGGACGCTACCAGGAGCAAGTTGTTGGCACTCCAAGCCACCTTATAGGCTCCCTGAAATAGCTGTCAGTTGAGGCCCATGGGCCGAACATGCAGAGAATAGACTACCAGGGAGGTCAATCTACCAGGGAGGTCCAGGTGTTGACTCACCAAATTGTAATGGCCACATTCACATTGACCGTCACCATGATTTCGCGATCGGACGCGACGAGTGAGGGGCGAACCTGGCCTATCGCTACGAACGTAGCAAAGACGCTCATGAAAATGGAGACGTCGTTGGAAGATACAGGTACCTTCGGTACCTTCCATGATTTCAGGAGTATTGGGCCGAACAATCATGCATGTTGTTTTTCTCCACTGGTAAGGTGTTGGAAGATGTTCACCTATTCTCGTTTTCAGCTAACTTCAGCCAAAAACGGCGTGCATTTGGATGATTTCAGTGGTGAAGATAGTTCATACTGTACACTCTGGGGGACACATCACATGGAAGTGGATGGCGTCACCATTGTATAGAGGAAACATCAGAGCGTCATCCACGGTCTTTCTTCCGTCGAGTGTAACCATGGGACCGAAGGACTTGCCGTGGGAGGTGTTCAGATGTTGTACAGATCAACTGGCCCGTCACGAGAAGTGAAGACGGCCTGGTAACATGGAATCTGACGGCCTTGGAGCACCAAGACCCCCCGAAGACGTCCTACGCCGTCTTCGTCCGACGCGGAAGTCACGGAAGTCCAGGCGTATAGTTTGCGCCTTCCATGCGCATGTTTTGCGGGTGAAGTTGATGAAATGATTGCGAATTGAAAGTCCATGGCGCCGTGGATGTTCGCTACAAGAATGCACCTGTCCCTGGTTCCGTATACCCTGGAAATCCATTCGTACCGAACCTCAGCTTTGGTATCCTCCTGGACCATCCAAGACCACCTATATAGCAGTGTGTCCAGTCGTGCCGTAGCTTCTGAGGTTCGGTACCACTGGATCTCTAGGACTTCAGCATGTTGTTGCAATTTCCTGTCCCGGATGCTGCAAGGCAGCTCCCCAATGTTCAATCATCGAATCAAGGTATGGAGCTGAAAGGAACCCTCAGCACGAGCATTGACCAAGGGTAACACGTGGTCAGGTCCATGTAATGGAGGCAGTTCTGTGCGGTTAGAAGGGGCTTCACCCATGGAAGTCAACCGCACTGTTGGGCTGATGATGCACTGCATGTATACCAGGACCCTCACTGCCAGGTCACCACCTGCGGCATTTTAAGTTTGCAAAAGTTGCCATGGAGGAGACCTGGCAGTGAAGGTGCTGGTATAGGTTGTCCACTATGTGTTGGTAACCTGGTGAGAAGGATCCTCTATGATCCCCTATTCAAGGAAAAAGTCAGATAGGCTTTTGAATAGGGAATCTTGCTTTCAGGCTCTTGAACACCATGGCCAGGCCCAACTTGGAAAGCAACGTGGAACAAACCATCGGTTCATGATGGGGACCTCCGATAAATCGCTTCTCCCCACCTGGAACTTCTTCTCACCCTGTATCAGTATCTTAAAATCCCTGGGAGGCTAAGACTATATGACTATAATGAAATAGTCTCATATATGTTTAAACGTTTCACTAGCTAATCTCAGTCCAGGAACCTTCTGGTGGGGCGAACGATCATTTCTCACTGGACCTTTAGGGTATCTATCAGAACAGGTTAGGTGCAATTCCATCCTGCCCAGTCACTTTTTGGGGGATTCAAGAACAGGCATGAAAAAGGTTAAGCTGTATATTATACCTAGAACCTGAATGACCTCTATTTTGGACCACCAACCACCCAAAATATGGTCTTTTTGTATCAGAACAGAGGTCATGTCTGAGTTCCAGGTATAATTCTGACGGAGTCAGCCGCTTTTTGGGTCGTTCTCCGCTTCTCCGCTTACCATCGTCCTCCACCGCCCCGAATCCTCGCCGCGGCTCGGTCGCCCAAGGCGGTGGATTGTCAGACCCACTACGGCTACACGGCGCACACCGGCGAGTTTCGACCGGCGAACGGGCCCAGAAAAAAAACATCTTAGAAAAAGATCCATGGGATTTGGAGTTGTTGTGGCCTCCACATCGACCGTCGACCCAAACAAACACGTTCCCCCAACTGAAGGGGGCAAAAGAGTTCAGTCCCGAGTCCCAGGGAAACCAGCCGTTTCAGGGCTGCCCCTTGTCCATTGCGAAGCGAAAAAAAAGGGCTGCCAACCAAGAAGCGGGGTCAGGGTCGAGCGAAACCAGAAGTGGGAGAAGCTGGTCACGGTGCTGAACTATTGAACCTCCGGAAAAACCCTCTGGAGGATTCTTTTAAGCCCTAGGGATCCGTTTTCGTACCGATTTCCTGGACGTGACTTGTTGACAGTCAGCCTCCAGGAGCTTGCAGACTGTCAGTTTCAGAGTGAGATTTCAGCCACCTTGCTCGAGGTGAGTGCCCTGAATGACCTACGTTGTGAGGCCACGAGGTGGCATACAGGGGCCACCAATTTGGAGAAATTCATTTACCTCATGAAGCGGCTGATGACTGAGCTGTCAGGTATTGAGTCCAGTGGAGGGCAAATGCCAGCGATATCTTTCCTTCGGCGCCTTTGGAGGAAGGATTGATTTCCCTTTCTGGCAAGAGTTTGGCGGATCTCCGCCAGGAATTGCCAGATTGTGAAGCCCGCCTTTTCCATATGAGGGGCGGTGCAAGCACACTCGCATGGAGCTATTTCGAAAAACTCGTGTGCCTGCAGAATATGTCCCAGGACAGATCTGACACGGGGACTGGCAGCGTCAGTGACCCTATGCCAGTGCCATCTGGAGAGATCACCGTTGAGGCCTTATTGGATACCTTGGCTTGGGCGGTCAATCGATTTGGCCAACTAGCAACGGTCATATCCAAAGTGCGAGAGGCCGCAACCTCCATGGCAGCATCCAGTGGCCTGCTCAATCCGAACCTTGATGCACAACATACGAGCTTGGTGCGCATGGCTGATGGGCTCCTCGCCCTATCGGCCACAACACGGCTACGGGGTGCTGTTGGGCTCCAAACACTGCTTGGTGTTTGTTCAAAAGAAGGCACATCTTAGCAGTACAGGTGAGTCTGGTCTATAGTCTTTGTTTTAGCTTTCTGGACAGGTGCTCAATGGAAAAGCTGCAGCATGCACCAGAACAACATCTTTTTTTGAAGCCTCCAAGCTTGAAATTGGATTCCTTGGAGCAACAATGCTCCAACTTAGACGATGGCCATGGTCTGACGGTCTGACTAGGTAACCCAGTCCAGGAACTTTCTTCACTTCAGTGGGACAAAACGTAGTTGAAGTAGACTTTATTGGACTTCTATTGCTTGGTCTTACTTCAGTGGTGTGCACTTGCTCACTGAATGCGGCTGATGGATGGATTGAGACAAATGACGATTCCACGCATAGCTGCTAAGCACCACCGCCCCCAGTGCTAGTTTGGGGGGCATGTGCTTTGAACCGCACTTCCCTGGGAACCTAGGAGCCCCTAGTAGCTTCTAGCGTCCTTGCTCCTAGTAGCGATGCCAGGAGCCCCCAGTAGCTTCTTGTTACTATCTCTAAAACCTCCAGTTGGACCAGTTGGATGATATTTCGCCCACCAACTGAAGTACAGGACATGCCTGGTTCCGGGTCACCGTTCGACCTAGTCAGACCATTATCCTCAAGAGTCGGCTGGTATAGTGTCCAGGGCATGCAGACTGACTGTACTACTTAAAGGGTGTGATGACATAGATACAGCCAGCACAAACAACAGCTCCGCAATCTGAACCACAACTGGGTTCTTGTTAAAGGATCTTTTTTAATCCTGCTCAGAACAACTTGGAAGATTCAGGAAGTTTCAATCAGAACCTGCTCAGGTCAGTAGCAAGGAAGTCCTAAAGTAAACTACTGATCTGAGCAAGATTATGAAACCTAACCATGAAACTTCCAGAAGGTTCAAAATGGAACTCAAGGAAGTTTCCGCAAATTTCAATCAAACAGATGGTTAAAGCGCCGTAAGTTTCTGGAAGTTTCAAAGCTCAGTGCTCTGGTGGATTTTAATTGGCGCGTATACATGCTGTTGTCAGCCCTGTTGTGAAATGCCTTGTTGAACATTGGATGTTGGTCATGTCACGCACACGCAAAGCGACGCACACACACACACAAGAAATGGAGAGAGAAAGAGATGACCTTTGCTAATTAAAAACAAGTTTCATTATTTTTTGTAGATATCATCTGGCAGATGCGCATGAGTAAATGTGTTGTGAGAACCTGATGTTTAGGTGTGTATATTCAAAGCACGTTTCACTTCAGCTTGCGCTTGGAGCAATGAACAGTTCTGCAACCTTTTCAACTTGCCATTTGTGGTGTCGTATAGCACGAAAGACAAAACATGGGCTTGCTGCAGAAAATTGGCATAGACTGCAACGGCTGTGTCATACCTGGAAGTCAGACGGATCCAAGGCTTCATCACTTCACACTCGCCTTCACTTCCTTCACACTCAGCAGTTCACTTCAGCAAAGAACGCACCATCGCATCATTGGTCATCGGTGTTTCAGAAGAGTCAGTCCAGGCGGCGCAACGAGTGCCGCTTCGGGCTTCGATCTTTCAAGTTTTGCTTGGCCCCTCCCAAAGATGTTAAAGCCAGGTGGTGATTTTCAATACATCAAAAACATCTTTGGGAGGGGCCAAGCAAAACATTTTTTTTTCAATACATCTTTCAATACAGCCTGCAAATCAAAAAACAAGATTCCTTGCCGCTTGACTCAGGACCGGGCTCGGAGACAACACACATAAGCATTCTATTTAGCCAGTCGACCGGGTTTTAAAGGCCGAGACTGGGTGAGTCCAACGATTCCCAAAGAAACAAAACAATGAGGTACACTCCTTTCGGCGCTATTTTGCACCTTTCGGCGCTCAGCTACCCTTTCCTCCCCAAGCTGAAGTGAAACGTGATTTGAATATACACACCTAAAGATCAGGTTCTCACAACACATTTACTCATGCGCATCTGCCAGAAGATATCTACAAAAAATCATGCAAATGAAACTTGTTTTTAATTAGCAAAGGTCATCTCTTTCTCTCTCCATTTCTTGTGTGTGTGTGTGCGTCGCTTTGCGTGTGCGTGACATGACCAACATCCAATGTTCAACAAGGCATTTCACAACAGGGCTGACAACAGCATTTAAACTGACGGCTTTAAACAAATACACCAGAGCGCTGAGCTTTGAAACTTCCAGAAACTTACGGCGTTTTAACCTTCTGTTTGATTGAAATTTACGGAAACTTCCTTGAGTTCCATTTTGAACCTTCTGGAAGTTTCATGGTTAGGTTTCATAATCTTGATCAGATCAGTAGTTTACTTTAAGACTTCCTTGCTACTGATCTGAGCAGCGTTAGTTTTCGGTTGAAACTGCCTGATCCATTTCTGTTTGAAATTTCCTGAAACTTCCAAGTTGTTGTCACCCATTTCAGTTTGAAACTTTCCGAAGCTTCCAAGTTGCTGTCATCCATTTCTGTTTGAAACTCCCTGAAACTTCCAAGTTGCTGTGATCCATTTCTGTTTGAAACTTCCTGAAACTTCCAAGTTGTTTAGAGTGGGATCAGAAAAACAAACATTTAACAAGAACCCAGACAAGTCAACCTCAACACAGTTTCTTTTCCATTGGGCAAAGCGTCCGGACCAACGGTGACCTGCGGTCAGGCCCTACACTACGCTGCTTTGGTGCCACGACCCGAGGTTGGTCGAACGAAGGGATCCCCGTCGGTCGATGGGAAGGGGTCCTCGGATCCATGCACCTTGCGATCGTTGATCCGTTTTTGCGATCGTTGAAGCAACGTTTTTGGGATTCGAGTTTGGGGTAAGGAAGAACACAGTGTTTGGGTGGCTGTTTTATGGGGATGATCATGTCATCATGTCCCTGTGGAGTTTGTTTCTTGTTCATGGTCCTTGGGAGTGCAGTGGACCACTTATATAAAAGAATTTGCCTGAACAGGCGAGCGGAGTCCAGGAAATTCCCGGCCCTTCTATACTCAGTCGAACTGGACTTCTAGAAGGACCTTCCTTTCGCCCAGCCGGGTGCTTTTTGGGACACTTCTGGTTCCTCACCTCGGACACGGGGCTATATATACCAACACCTCTTTGGTATAGGGAGGTAAGCAGAGCCTCATCAGGACGGTGTATATACCCTAAGCTTCATGCGTCGCTACTTGTAGTGTGGGTCCAGGTGTACCCTGTCAGCTTCCGGTCGCCCCAGTGCTTTGATGGGTGTTTCTGAACAGTCATTGTTTGACTAAGGATTTTAGATTGCAAAATAGAACCAGATCAACCTTTCTTTTACGTGTTTTGCAAGGCCAGGGTACAAACCTTTTGCCAAGGCATGGCTTGTAAGAATGTTGATTTTCTCAAAGGTGTGTTTGTAGGAACAGGTTGATTTTCCAACCAGAATAAGTCAAATTTTAAGCCAGTGTTGTATCCGAACAGGATGTGCGGACCAACGCATGAAAGGAATCGTCTTACAACAAATTCATTTTAGTTTTATGCATAACAGGACCATCCAAGAGCTGTCTATAAATAGCCTCTTACTGGTTAAGGGATGTCCAAAAACAACCGGGCATGTAGAAGCCACATGTTTCACCTCCTGCTGACTATGCTGGGTGGGGTGCGGCCCAGCTGTTTCCACGCAGACAGGTCGTCCGCATTCTGCTGGACGCGAAAGTGTGGAAGCTCAGCGTTCTGCCGCAGTTAACGTTGGAACCACACATCTCCATTGGAGCTCCTTAAGCGACTTGGGAGAAGTACATTGTTCATACAAGGCTCCGAAGGGTGTGTGTGTGTGTGTGTGCGTGTGTATGTGAGTGAGCAGTCAGAAAGTGGTGTGTGCGTTGTTACTCTCCTGGTTCTTCAGGACCCGTGACCGAACGAACAATCCCCTGGGAACTCGTTCGGTCACGAACCGGCTTGGGAATGGTGACTGGGACCCCAGAGTTTGCTCACGAACTGAAGAAGTTGGTATAAGGTATACTGTATAGAATACTTGCTTTCATCACCACGATGGCTGAAGTGGCTGAAATATCCACGTGTTACTCTCAAAGCAACCGTCCAGTTGAAGTCGCGAGGATGAGAGCTTAGAATAACGATGACTTTCTCTCTACTTAGATGTGGTTTGAAGTTGATGAATTTTCGCTGGGTTGCCCTATCGCCTTCCGAGAAGATCATACAAAGTTCGGTTTACCTGATATGATCCTGAACAAAACACTTGATTGCTCAATGAAACCAATCAAATCCATGGAGGGCGACCAGAATCCTATAGGCTTCTCTCCACTTGGTCTCTTGATGTTCATCAACGAAGCTCCTTTCGATCGCAGTGATGAACACTCTGGGAGTTGTGTGTGTTTGTTCTTCGTCCGTGCGGCACCTGAGTTCTTTGGATGGAAGAACCGCCACCGCCAATTCAGACGTCGACGTGAACGCGACAACAGCCAGGTCGTTCCCTAGAACGTCGTTCCCGGTGTCCGAACGAACGGATGAGGGTTGGGGTAGCCCGGACGCGAACGGAGCGGTTTCCGCCTTCCGGTACCCTTTTCTCACCTCCGCGGTTTCCGGGACGGAGCAACACCGCTCTGGAGCTGCTGATGAGACACTTCAGTGTTTCCGTTCAGTTTTGGGGTCATGAGACAGAGTCTCAAGAGATCCTTGGTTTTTCCAGGTTGAAGAAACGAGAACGACACTCGAACCTTTCGCCAATTGGCCTCCGGGTACCGATCTCCAACCGGCCGTAACGCCTCTGCCCGGGCTCCGAGGCCCGCACAGGCTCTATCGATCGAGAAGGTCGCACTGCCCCTCAGTCGCAGCCACTGGTTGCTGCTTCCAGATCGAATATATCAGATACCTGGAGTCTCAGTTCGTACCTTGGGAAATGGGTACAAGCACCTGTCCTTTTAGGGTCATGTCCCATTTTCTAGGGTACTCTGGAGGGTCCAGGTATATACACCCCATACCAGCACCTTCACTGCCAGGTCTCCGAAATGGAGGATTTTGTAGACGACCCAAAGTCACAGGTGGTGACCTGTTGGAAGGTCCTGGTAGAAGTCCAGTTCGACTATTCATACTATTCTTTTGACCGACTGAAGTGTTCAGGAAAGTCCTGGACTCGGGTCACAGTCCGACCATACTTTTTATAGTTTTTTGACTCTCAGGGTATACTTATGAGTTCAACCTTTACTTGGGATGATTGACACTGACAGACTAATATTGTTCAAGTGAGTTGAAACCACCAACCAGGATACAAATACGCTGGTTTCACGGTGGCAAAAACAGCCAGAAACGCCTGGCTGTGGGTCATGTCATGGTGCTGTTTTCGCTCGTTTTCACGCTGGTAGGTTCTTCCATGTGTGGTAATCTCCTATCCCTACAAGTCAGCTTGACCTCATGAAATACTGGAGATGGTCATGCAAAACCCATACTTCAGGAGGTATGGCAGACCAGGTTTGGATCTGGGTCAGACTGGACTTGTAGGGTATTCTGTTCATTCCGGTGGTCAACCAGGGTCCCCCCCCGTTTTTTTTGTTCCATTGACATTTGTTTTTTCCTCCTTCGATCCATGCTCACTGGAATGTCAGCATGGCCCATGACGTAGGTGGCCCAACGAATGAATCTTCAAGAACCTAGGGTTGCACAAATCATGCGACACTGTATAACCTGTTCTGGGAATTCCCTGGAAGTCCAAGACCATGTCCAAAATTGTTGGTCTGGTAAAGTGTAAAATCCTTCGTAAAGCCGGTTCTTCGGGATTCAGGCTATCAAATGCATGGTGGTCCAGGACTTTCTATGGCAATTGAATGGACCAATTCCACTGAAACAAGTGTTAGGGATGTCTTACGAAGTCATGGTGGACATTTCCGTCAAAGCTTGATCAATTCGGAACATGAAATGGCACCCGACGGACAGCTCGGTCGGCGGTGAACGGGTGTGGATGGATTGGTCAGACCTGCCGACCGAGCTTCCCGGTTTTCAAGCAAGAAACAGCGCTGGTTCTTCCAATATGGCCTTGCTTGAAAGATCTTGAAAGCCTTTACTAGGAAATGGCTGGGACTCGGGAAACATCAAGTTTCTGGTTGGGTTTCCCAGGCGAAGAAAGGGGGATGCTTCAGGTCATGGCCATTCTGCAGTCCTTTTACACGCAGGAGTAATGGCACCCCGGCCTGGCGGTGTGCCAGGTCTCCGAAATGGAGGGAGTTTTCAAAGGACCCTGAGGCATCAGGTCAAACCAGACAGGTGACCTGGCAGGTTGGTACTGGGTGCCTGGGTGCCTGGTACTTGAAGTGATAAGAGCTGCTATCATCGATGGAAGTTCCAATCTTCGTCTTCCTGATCGGAAGTTCGGACCTGTTTGGAAGGACGCTAGATCTGGCGTTTGATGGAAAAGGATGGGAAGAACTTAGTTAGAGAGCCGATCCCAGACACTCCATCGGACTATGGCACTATACTCTATCTATGGTCATATATACATATATATTGACACCTCAAACCACCCCTGGCCGGAGCTCGGGAGTCAGTCAATATAAGCCAATTCCCAAACGGTGCTGCGGTCGTGCTGACAGTGTTCTTCAGCTCCCAAACGGTCGTACCCGGTTCAGTCCCTTCGTTTTGCTTCGGGACTGAGACATGAGACGGTGCCAAGTGACGACGACGGGTCGGTCCTCATACCGAAGCTTGAGGGGCCGCACCCCGTCCGCCTCGTCGGACGAAGCTAAGCTTCGAGGCGTTGCATGCGGCCTTGTCCACCTTACCATCCGGTGGTCGTCTCTTGGAATGCATCCGGGTGTTTGCTGGGGAGGGAAGCAATATGGATCAAACATGATCAAACAGCTGGTGATTTCAGTCCAAACCCATGAAATCCATAGGTGGATCGAATCCTTTGGGCCCTATCCCAGTTTCTTAGGGCAGTTACTTGAAGTCGTTTCCAGGTGATCACAGTGCAGGGTTTGTGAACATTGTAATCACAATTGGGCCCTTCCAGCAAGCTCCTTTGAGCTCAAGTTCTCTTTTGCTCATCCTTAGATTGAAGACACATGTGGATTGAACATGCATCATATTATAGGTTTTTTGTTTGCTCCCTTTGGCAACAAAATTCTCAGCCAATTGCGCATGTTCTTGAAGCTGAAGCCTGCCAAGCGCAAGTACAGCAAGAAGATGACTTGAGCAAAGTCAGCAGCAATATGGCGGCCAGACGCCGCCGCATCTGTTATGAACCCGATGGTCTGTGTTGCACCTTTGCTTGCTGCTGTTGCCTCTCCTGTAACAGAAGTTGCAGCGTCACTCCAAAAGCATGCCTTTGACGAATGAAAGCCACTCCCAGCACCACCCTGTGGATGGTGCTTTAGACACCCCGAATCACTTCAAGACGAGGACTGAAGTTCCAGGTATACGGTACTGGGCATCGACCAAGGTTTAGCATCATCCAGGTGCTACTGTTTCAGCTGCCAGATCTCATCAACTTCTTAGCCAGTAAAGGCCGACCATACTAGTTCATTGTTTTATGTATGAATGTGTCAGGCTTTACAGGCTTCGATTAGCTTTTACAAGCTCAATTTGATACTAGTTTGATACTAGTCTAGACTGGTATACGCTTTTGATACCTAGTGGGTTTTTCGCTACAACCAGCTTTCCTAGGTGAAGCTTGGCTTTTGCAGGCCAGACCCCACTTGCGTGACTTAAAAGTACACATCAAAAGCAGCTGGCCCTTGGATCTCAGGATGAGACCAAGCAGTGTGACAATTTTTATTTGTGCCTGACAGCCTGTGATTGGAGCGAATTGGAAAGGGTCAGTACGTGGCAGGGACAGGTACCTTACATGCAAGGATGAAAACACGGGTGATCAAGGGAATGAAAGAAAGCACAAAGAGGTGGCTACAGCCTTGTTGCTTTACCATGAGCCAAAAAAATTGCAACCAGATGCCTACAGGTGACAGCATTTATGTGCTTTCCCAGCAAATGATGCATGGCAAGCTCACCTGAGCCAACACCTGTGGGTGTGCCAGCTTTGGTAGTGTATCCAGCCCACCCCAGTGCTTTGTCCAAAGAACACCTGCAATCTAGCTATGGGAAGCAAGACAGAGTGATCAAAACGCATCATTGGCTCCTGCATTTTCCTGCCCACTTGGAAGAGCATGGGAAGACAGCTTCTTGCTTTACAGCAGAGAGCAAGCATAAAGATGTGCCCAGGCACGCTGTGAGCATGTACGACACCAAAAAAGTTGAAAGATGGGTCTTTGATGAAGAGTTTCATTCTTTGGGTGATCCAGCTAATTTGTGCACAGATCCTGGCCTTTTGAAAGCATCACCTTTGCCAAAGAAAATGTTGCACATTGGACGGCAAATTTGGCCCTTTGCACAAGATGCGTTTAGGGGCCACACTTTGATGTTGCAGCATGGTGGCACTGTAAGCAAGGGTGATGTTGTACTGCTGCACGGTCCTCCCAATTGGAAATGTGGGAAGGTGATGCTCATTTGGCACATCCTGGGCAATGTGTGTCTGTGGTGACACTTACCTCCCTTGTGGAAATTGGTCATGGCACAAAGTTTGCAGTGAGGAAGGGCGCAGATGATTTGGCAGTGCTGCAGCAGTTCTACAGCCCCTGTTTGGACTCCTGTTGGCAGTCACCAGCTTCAACCGCTATTCGAGGTTTGTCGGGCCGCCGCTTGCTGAAACCCATAGTCAGCATGTACTTCGACGACTTTCATGTCACAGGTTTGAATACCAATGTGCCAATGGGGTTTCCTCTCAATGGTCCTCCAACTGGGCGGATGCCATGTATTCCAACTCCAACGAGCCACTTTCCCCATTGGCTTCTTCAGCTTCCCTAGTATCTGATCATTCGAGTAGCGGAATTTCTGCAAGTGCATTGGGGCTGTCTTAGGATTCTACCTGGGGTGTCCAGGTGGATGACCCAGAGTGTAGCGTGACTGCATCTCTGAGATCGAAGTCGCTGACAAGCGGTCCAGTCAAATCTTGTGGGATGCTACTTGAGATGAGCCAGGGAAGAGAGGAAAAACAGACAAAAATATGAGAGAAGCATCGTCGGGGTCGCCACACGCAGCATGTAATACCGTTGAGAGGAAATCTTCCCTGGCAGTGCATGGTCCTCCAAGTGTGACGATCATCTTGTTGGACAAGACTTTTGACGAGGTTCCACGACCTCCTTGCGCAGAGGTGCCAGGAGATGGCAGGCCACGAACCGCAAATGTGAAGGTTGGACCTATCATCTCGATGCACGCGACGGCTCCCTAGTCATGATGGCGCGCCCTGAAAATGGTGCTGGACTCCTATTACAGGGTTCGCCCCTGCCCTGTAATTCAGTTCTTCCGCGTGCAGTGTGCCATGCGATGAGACCGTTTCCACAAGCATGAAATGAAAGAGTACGTAAATCAATGTGGATCCAAGACCATGTGGAGATGCGCGGGTTCCATTGGAGATGGATGGTGAAGTGATGAAGCACGGAGATGGTCAAACCATGCCAAACCCTTTTCATGAGCTACCAAAGGAAGCCTGGAAGTGATGAACAAAATAGTAAAAGAGTTATTTTGTAGAAGATGCCAATGTAGGCATGTATTCCAGTCCGAGTGTCTGGTTACTGCGTAACTTTGCATCTACAACTTACGTGTTCCATGCGGCACTTGGATTTCGGTGCAATTTCAACAAATCTCGTGGCAACCGAGCACCACCGAGGAAGCCCGACGGTGGTCACCAGCTGTGATCCCGCAGGCGTGGTCACGGGTGGCTTACGACGATTGGCGTGATGCGATATGGGCGATGTGTCCAGAATTGTCCAGGGAAAGGGGTTGAAAACATTCTACCAGTTCGCCTTCCATTCGTTCTTTTTTAATCTAATAATTGAGCTGGATTCGGAAATGTAAAGCCCTTAGTAAAGCAAAGGTTTACGGTTTGTTGGGTAAACAACGATTCAATCAATGGTGGCTCGAATCCTAGCGAATAGGTTTCCTGACCCACCATTCATTGAATGAGTTGCATTCGGAAGAACCATTGTTGAATGATTTATTGAATTGTTTTACAAAGGATTTTATGCTGTATATTTGTTGTTTCGTTGAAACCATTGGTTTTGTAAGGCTGTGACACCACAAACACCCGGTCATTTATTGAAAATTGTCGAATGGAAGGATACGGGTGAGCTACCAAGCAGCGTGCAAGTTTCGTTGATCGTCGTCAAGTCGGACCAAGTCTAGAGAGAACTGTGTTGTTTGTTTGTCAATGTGTGCTGAGTCCACCTATATTATTGGAAAATATGTGAGACTGATCTACCTGACCTTTGATGCTGACTTGTTTGACCTTTTGACTTCGAAAGAACACCCAGATAATTCTTGGTTTTTGCAGCAACTCCTTTTAAGCCAAAAGAACATATCGCGATCGTCAGAATCTCTGAGTAAACCACCTCTGGACAATTTCCCATCACAGGGCCCCTCTCCTTCACTCTCCTGGTAGGTTAATTAGTCCTTTTGGTGTAGAGGTGTTAAAGAGATTTTCTATTAACCTGTCAAGGTTATATAAACCCTTAGCTAAGGACATATGTAGCAGCCGGTGTAAGCAGCTGAGATGTTGATTGCAGGTCTTCCAAAAAGGGTAGCCAGAGAGTTCTGTGTCGTGCTACTGTGTTTTTAATGTGATATTTTTTGGGATGCATGCGCCGAGTAAGATCCGAGTGTGAGCATTTCTTATGGGGCATGAAACATTGGTGAAGCAAAAAGCACCATCTCGAACCCGAAAATGCGCAGTTCTTTACTGAAAGTATTGCCAAATATCGTCTTTGGACTTCTATAGTGCCTCTATACAACATATAGAGAAAAACATTTCTCCTCATAACGCCCGGGGTGAACTTAGATCATGAAGCACGGTGTTTCTTCGGTCTCTACTCAAACTGAAGGAAGACATCCCATCTTCCCTTGGCATGTTTGTGTGGAGCTTTGTTTGGAGTCCAGTTTTGAATTGAGTCGCCTTTTCTTCTTTGTTCGCGCCGTTCGACTCCATCCCCACGTCGAGGTATTGGCGATGAGTATTGCTACGACCACGACATCTCTCACGGATATCGGAGGCTCGAACAGGAGGCAGGGCTAAACCCGAGCGTCCGGACCGTGTCTTCTCCAAATCCAGCTGCTTCCGAGGTTCGGTTTAGCAGGAAACCAAGCGCCATGAGGTTTAGCATGGAGTGCGTGGATGGTTTGCCTGGGTGATTCTATACATATAAAGAGCACAAAGTCTCCAACCATCATACCTTTATATGCATCGTGTTTGCCGTTTTGGTTGGTCTTGTGAAAAGGCAAACATTTTGCCCAGCTGCCAGATCCAGGTAACAGCAAAGTTCAGATCAAACTATATGACAGTTGTTTGAATGCCCTCATAGGGTTCAGTGTGGAAGATGTTTCAATTCCACTTTCCAGTATGTACACTCCCACCTCCTTGAATCGAAGTGTATCCCTGAAATGGAACAAAAAGCACATTGGTCGCGACCTCTCTTGGTGATCCTTCTTCCCAGACGTCGATCCGGTCGGTACGTCAGTCCGGTGTCTACGTTGATCGCGTCGCGGGCCGATCACCTGCTGGTCACGGGGAATTGGTGTGGAAGAAACGGAGGGTGAGGACCCGGAGGGTTGAGAAACAACGATTCGTTTGCTCTGAAATCATGGCGCAAGATGGATTTAGGTGAATCATCTTGAATCCCAGGCTTAAGATGTACTAACCCTAGGGCTCCAAGTACCTCCTCAGAAGATGTTTGGCCGTTTCCTGGAACCATCCATAACTGGTCCACCGGGAGTTTATACCAAGATCTACCAGGACCTTCCGTTTGAGGTGAGGACCGGGGGTGGACCGTGTCCGCACCGTGGTGTGTCGGACCGTGGTCCGACTCGTGATCAGGAGATGCAGTTGAGGGTGGTGAAGATGGCTGTGAGTGCACTACTCAGTGTGGCGCTCAGGGGTTGCGCACCGCAGTCGAAGGACGGACCGGTCCGGACTCTCTGTGACCTTCGGATGCGAAGGGGAGGATCGGACCCGAAGCGGATCGGGCCCGACCTATGACGCGACCTGAGAACACCGAAGCGCCTATAATTGAAGGCTCCATTTCACCCTGTAGTTGTGAGGGTCATTTCAATCTCTGAGCCGAACTGGGTGGTTTTGAGGTTGGGTCGAGTTGTGAAGGAAGCGTCTGGGCAGTATTTGGACCGTCTGGTGAACCTATAGGCGGCGCCACCAGCCACGGCTCGCGTGGCTGGAACTGGTTGGGATGTCTGGAACACTGGCGCCACATGTCTCAGTGTCGAACACATCACCAGTGTCTATGTGGGTGTATCCGTGGTCATTCTGTCACTGGGATAAGTGTATAGGTGTATCAGTGATGAACACATCACCAGTGTCTATAGGGATAAGTTCATCAGGTCATTCTGTCGATGTCACGTGCCCAACCCTCTTGAGACCTCCATCTACTTCCAGTCTCATCCGATGGAAGGGGCTCTGGACCGGACGATATGACCTCATCAGGTCTCTCTCTCCACTCTTCCACTTCATCCTGACGGCGTCTAGACAGTCTCGACACGACCCCTCCAGTCACTCCCAAAGCTGGCAATTCGGAGGACTGGGATATGGGATGATATGCATGGGTGTGTATTAGTTATAGGAAGACCTCCCAGTTCGATGCCATTTCAGGCCATCCTATCTAATATGCTAAAGAATCTTTTGGAGTCACACAGCCTTATACTTGAGTCTGTGGATGTTTCTCGAGTTATTCCACCGGCGTTTATATACACACTACGGGCGTTTCTACCCGAACTTGCTTTTTTAACCCCATGTTTATTTTGGTTGCGGATGTTTGTGTGGTTCACAGACCTAAATAAAGGTTGCACTACCGACCGCCACCGAGCTCGGTTGCAGGTATACCTGGACCCAACATCCAGGACCCTCCAGTATACCGTTTACGGGCCCTCCAGTTCACAGGGTTCCCGGCACCACCTTTCCCATTGGAGAAGGGCCCGGGATTCTGTAGAAAATCGGTTCCCGTGAAAAGCAGGGGCCTGGGGCCCTCAACTCCCAGTTTTGCGGGACCAGTCTCAGCCTGAACTGAGACCCCACGTTCTGAACATGATGTTGCGCTGGTCGTTGGAAATCCAATGTGCATGGCAGATGAGACGTTGCGTGAGACTGACCCCCAATTGAATCCAGTTGAATCCCATTGACCAAAAGCTGGTCAACCAGAACTAAACTATAGCTGACTAGCTGGTGGTTATACGCACAACTCTTCCCAAGAAGGTGTTGCTTAAGGTGATTCGTGTATTTTCCCGGTTCCTGGGTCAATCCCCACACCTGGGGAACATGTCCTAGACACGACTACTGGGGCTGGAATATTTACTATAGACTATAGGGGTGAATCTAGGTTGGTTTTCTGCCAGTCCCATGACAGTCGTGTTTGGGTGGAGACCATCAAAATACCTCCCCGGCCTGGACCGCTTGGAGCCACCCCGCCTACGCTGTTCAACTAGACCGGACGGACCCAGGTGTTCGAGCTGACGTGGAGCTCCGCGACGGTGCGGAACCCGGAGACGCTGACGTCCGGGGCGGAACCCGGAGGAAGCCGCTTGGAATTCGTTGTGTGAAACAGGTGAAGTGGTCACTAGTATACCTATGTTTTATCACATGTTTAATGTCAACACCGGATTAATCAACGCCCCCCCCTCCCCACCCCTGGAAGGTCAACAAGGTCAACAAGGTCTGAGATTGGAGGTATTGGAGGACCACATCCCCCTAATGAAGGTGATGATCTGCTGATGAGATGAGGACCTGGACCTGATGATGGATGATGGTTGATGGGATTTTGTGTCATGAGAGATTGAACCATGAGAACCATGTGTATTGGCACAAGTCTGATAAGAGATCAGATAGAGTTGATCAGAGAGCCATGCCAATTGCATCATTGCATATCAGAGCATGGAGGATCAGGAATGGGAGGTGGAGGCTATTTGTGGTGAGGGTGGATCCATGGACTGGATGGTCTGATGATTGGTGGCTTGTAGAGGATTGGTATGGCCTTATGGCATATGATTCCCAATGGGAGAGGGATCAGAAAATTGGAGATGAGTACAATAGTATGGGCATTCGAGTATGGAGTCGCAGATGGTGAGATGATGAGGCATTGGCTTGATAAAGCTGGTGCCATTGTTGATGGATTGGGGAATTGGGTGGGTGAAGCAGCTAGCATGGTGATTGTGGGATGTATTCATCCACTAGTGGGCAATGAGTGGTGGAGCTGGGTCCATGGAATGGATGGTGGACATGAGTTTGGGAACCTGCTGGGTGCACCATGGGTGGTACTCATTGTGCGTAGTATTGATGGAGCATATTTGGGCTCAAGCTATTGGTTTAGTGAGGTATTGAGCCATGGTGCACTCAGCAGAAGAGATGACCAATGAGCTTTTGAGCTTGGGTGGTATCATGAGAAACCATGTGCTGGGCAATGTCTGGGTGATCATTGAGGGCATGCGGGGGTTGGCAAAACATGACTTTATGATAAAAGATTGATGGGATGAAGAGGAGATTATTTATGAGTTTTGGTGCATAATGGTGATCACCCTGCAGCATCAGTTCATTGGTGTATGTATGGTTGGATCATTCCATGGTGATCAGCCATGGGCAAAGGATATGCCACTGGGAAGTGACAGGATTCATGAGGGATGGTTGAAGAATAGGTTGGTGCGTGTGAAGGATGGGGTTATCATACCTCCCAACTGGACAAGGATTCAAGGGGCCAAGGAATTGGCTGATTTGGTTGAATGGATGTGACAGGGTGTACAAAGATGCAAACATCCCAGGATTAGCTGATGAGGAGCTGCCAGAATGGGAGGATGCCAGCCAATTTCAATTGCCATTGGCATATAGGTTCTATGAGCGATGAGGCAAAAAGGAAAAGGGAGAAGCAAAATGAGAGGAAGAAGAATAGGAAAATTGTGAGGGATGCTGCCAAGGCATTGGGTGATGAGCGGGAGAGGAGCAGGCATGAGGTGATGAGTGCAATGGTGCCATCAGCTACCAGGAAGGAAGCAGGGCAGGATAAGAAGAAGAAGAAGAAGAGTTGGATGAAGAAGGCCAAGAAGCATATGCAGAAGAACATGAAGAACAAGGCATTGGAGAATGTGGCCAAGGAAAAGCTATCAAAGAAGAAGGCACTGGAGGATGGGGGTCATGAGAAGGATGATGCGAAATCCAAGCAGGAGAAGCTTCTTCCATTGGAGGATAAGAAGGATGAGAAAGGCAGCCAATCTCCCATTGCCACCACCAGTATGGGCACCCCAGATTCCCAGATCGAGGGGGGGGGAAGATCAGGCTCATCAGTGAAATGGCTGGAAGTACTTTGTATGGGAGGCAGGGTGAGGCATTGTGCCAAGAGGAGACTGAGGTCCAATTGCTTTTGGAGGAAGGTTGGAGGAGTAAGGCATAAGGGTGATAGGAAGGCATGGGTCAAGAAGGCATACCTCACCGTGGTAGGGGGGATGAGAAGATTTGGAGATGGCCCCAATTGAGTATCGCCACGGGATGAAGTTGGAGATGCCCTATGAGGCTGGATTCTCTATGGACCTTGAGCTCATTGACATGAATGGGCGCGTGGAGGTGGTATCAGAGAAGAGCATCACGGAGCATGGGGTTCATTGGTTTTGGGATGGGCACTCATCAACTGGGTAGCCAATGAGAGAGTGAGTTGGGCCCTACAAGGGGTGAATGAGGTGGTGGTGCAAGAGAAGGGATCCAAAAAATGCGGTGTATTTGTTGCTGATGCTATGGCGTATGGCCCAGCAGGGATTGGATGGCCATGGATTGCTGCCCCGAATTGGGTCAGCAAGATGAGGAAGCTGGGTGAGCAATTGGAAAATGAGAGGGGGAAGAGGATCAAGGCTATGAGAGAGCAGGATGAGAAGGTTCAGAAGCATGGTGAGAAGATGAAGCAGGAGAGGGAGAAGATGGCAGCATTGGCTGAGAAGATGATGGCAGCCAATAAGAAGATGACCAAGATACAGGAGGATGCTTGGAAATTGGTGAATGAGGGGGGTGCTTTGAGGGTGGATGAGCTTCCATCAGCCTATTTGAAAGCCAAAGCCAAGATTTAGCTGGGTGGGTTGGGGTATGCAGCAAGTGCAGGTATTCCAGTGGGTGCATGGACTGCAATGTATGGAAATACACAGCCTATTGGATGAGGAAGGAGGGAAGAGGCTGGGCAGGAAGATCCCATATGAGTATACATTGGCTGCACAGATTGCTGCTGGGAAGGATGAGAAGAGCAAGCAGAATGATCAGAATGATTGATGGATGACAGGATCAGCATGGGAAAAGGGTGGATCAGGATGCTATCTGCCATCTCTCAAAGAGATGGCATGAGACAACGGTGGATCAGAAGATCAGTTTCACCATGGACCAGAAGATACTGAATACCAAAAAAGAACATTAATAATTACTAAATGTTAAACACTTGATATTTTTTCTGGTGGAGCTGGGATTGATTCATAGGGGGAGGTTCCTGGTAGAGAAAGAATATCAGGGTGATGCCAAGGTGGAAATCCATGTTTTAAATTAGCTTAGTATTGGGGGAGTCGAGCTGGGATTGGTTAATAGGGGATGGTTACGTACTCCTATGCCAACATTATATTTTGGGTTATGCGCACAGAGGATTAAGTGACCACTAGAGAGCGCATGTTGCTTTTCAAAAGAAAGCTTTGCATATAATATATGTAAATTTCTTAACATTTGTGTTCTTAAAATCACGCCCCCAGCAACACCCGCTTTCTAGAATGAAATCAGAGTTGATTTAGAATTCCGTTTGCATTGGTTTAGGCTAAATTTTCACTGAACTAGAATCGAATCAAAGTAAAATTACTCAACAGTAGACTGAAAATCCAAAAAGGAATTAAACTACAATTCTAAATCAATTAAGTTTGTATTACATAAAATTTAAACTAGCTACTCAATTACAAATACAATGAAACAAGAACGAAAGTAAAATTACATTAAACTGGAAATAATTGGAACAAAATTCGAGAAAAAGTACAAGTAAATTAGACAAGTTAGAATTCAGTTGAAATTAAACTAAGCTTGAACTTTTCATTTTAAATTAGAATTGAACTCATTGGACTTGAATTTAGCTGGAATTAAAATCAAATTGGAGATTGAAATGCAATTTAGATTAAAAAATCAATCAGACTCAATCGACTTAGAATTTAGAGTAGAAGTAAACCAAAAACTCAAAGTAGAATTAAAATAGAATTCAACCAGGCTCAAATTTGAATTTCAACTTCAAGTTTAGAATTAAGGAGGACTTAAATGCGAATTAATTAGATTTAAGTAGAATACATGGGTATTAAGAGGTCTACTTATGAATTCAGTTCAACTTTTTTTTAAAAAGAAAGAAATATTGTAAAATTGTAAAACGCTTGAAAAAGTTATTCAATTTCAGTCAACTATAAATAGATGAAAACCTATTTGAATTCAAACCTAAACCAACTTCCAATAAGGTATAGTTGAACTAGACTTTTTTTACTTAGAACGCGGTTAGAACCGAATTAGAGTTTCATAAGAATTGAATGAAAAATAAGAGACAGAACCGGTATGCAAAAAGCTATCAAAAACAATCAAGAAAAGTTGCAGACCCCATGGCCAGAGAGTCAGACAGGAGAGAGCCCCAATGGGGTCTGCATGTTTTTTGAGGGAAAACAAAAAATGCAGACCCCATGGCCACAGAATTTGCTCATGCTTTTGCAAGCGTGAACATGAACAAAACCTCGCGATAAAAAAGGAACAAAACTGCACACCCTATGTCTGAAGTCTTGGGATGCTTCATGGGGTCCAGTTTGGGTTCTTCTTTGTTTTCTCAAGGTTTTCGAAGTTCCGTTCTGTTGGATTTTCTTGTTTTTGTGCATTGTATTGATTGTAAGCAGATGCTCACAGATGCTCACAGCTGTTGTTTGTGATTGTTTTGCACACGCTGGCGGTAGCCTGTTCTGAAAAACAATATAGTTGGTTTTATGTATTTTCTTGTTTATGTCCTTTTTCTAGTATTCAATATCTTCTGGTCCATGGTGAAACTGATCTTCTGATCCACCCTTGTCTCATGCCACTCACACGCTGTGACCGAGAAACTGCTGCCAGACTACAAGAGCTCACTATGACCAAAGATGAAGTGAAGGCGCAAGCTCAGGAAAGCTCAGCCGCTGGATCCTGGATGCACAAGCAATGCGAATGCGTGCTCAATGGTGGCGCAATTGAGGGATACTGTTTTGAGATGACTCTTTTCGCGAATTTCCTCAGGAGCTTGCCACCTCTTCTTGCATACAGAACGGAGTGGTGCATCTGGGCAGATGATGAGAAACTTGCAGGCGCCATCGATTTTGCAGCGGAGACTGAGCTGGGGCATCTCGTGCCACTTGAACACAAGCAGCTTTATTTACTGGTGATCTGTTTTTAGGCCTTTTTTGCAGATCTAGAGATCGCTCGGCTATCTGCCAGTTGCTGATGTCCTGTTCAAACCCCTGCAAAAGGATCTATCGAATCAACTAACTATTCAGCGCTATAAGGGCAGGTGACAACGCTGGAGTGCACTCCATTCTTGAATCTGGGCAGGCTGCCGAAACTTCTAATGGGAGCTGCGCAGCATTGACGCACGCCTGCCTTGTTGCATTTGGAAGGGTTGTTCCGTCAATGTGCACGACAAACGGGAAGGACGATGCTAGGCCTACTGGGCGCTGATACTTTGTGGCTAGATGTTGGAACGGATGAAAGGGCATTTCTGATTGCCTGTGTTGAGGCATGTTTGACTTATCGAGGTGACCCTCCAAGGCGAGGAGGGAAACAAGGAGGTCAAGATGGAGGAGAAGATGTTGCGCTGGAAGAGGGTGCACCGTGGACATCAGCCACTGCGAAAACTATCCTTCAGAACAAGAAGCAGCCGTCTTTCGAGCTCACGCAAGATAAGCTTTTGCATTACATGTCAGGGTGGTGTGACATGCCAAAGGTCATCGAGCCGTCCTGCTGCTACGAAGACTGCGCTGTTCTCTATGATGACATTCTGCTGCCAGCTCATCAAGTTGATCGAGACACACTGGCTAATTGCTACCTGCGGATACCTCACAGCATCAAAGAAACAGTGCCAGTCGATGGTGCGAAGGCTACAAAAAAGAATTACAGCCAAACGTTCTGGGGAAATGCGTGTGTTTTTGAATGCTGTCAAGCGGCACAAGCTCTTGCTAAGCGGGGCCTCAATGTTGTCCGGTTGTTCATATAGGACTGCCTCGAGGAGGAGTCGGTCAGTCTCTCTACTCGACTCATCTGCAAGCAATGTACGGACATTTTGCAGCGTTTGATCCCAATTTTTGGTATCATGACGAAGAAATGCGGAAGCAGATCAAGAGTCAGAATGGCTGCTGCATAATTCTTACTGGACAAGAAACGCCCGGCACAAACCGCAGCTCAAGCTAAAATAGTATGTATTGTTTTAAGTTCAATGTTCAAAGATTTGTATAGTCCAATGTAACAGTATCAGAAAATAGATGGCTACAAGATATGTTCTCCGCGCTGAGTTAAGATGCGGGAGGACCTCTACAATAAGTTTTGTAGTGGCGAAGGCATTGCTGGACGGCTGCAGAAGCCAATGAATCTGAAGCAGATTGTGTTGGAGGGAGCCATGGCTGCGCCTCCTTTTGCAAAGGAAGGAACGCCCATCGAGGATGAAGAAGAAAACATGGATCAAACTCGCGATCTGATACTGACGAAGATGACAACGATACAGGAGCTTCTCATGAATTACAATGGCTTGATGGTGATGGCTGCGTCACGGTAGAGATGGGCCTACTGTATGCTGTAGAACAGAGATAATAGGCTACATTGAGCTCGCAAAGGCGGGGAAGCTACGCAGCAGTGGGGGCAAAGTTGTCCCCTGCATGCCCGTTTCGATCTTTTGAACGAAGCTCCCGTGTGGTGACGCACTTACAGAAGTATCATACTTTAAAGAACCAATTTTGTTGCTCTGGCACCAAGGAGGTGCGGATGATTCTGGCGTTTCACGATGAAGACATGCTGCAGCAAGGAAGTTTTTTGAGCATACCTCTGGAGAACTTCCGCGCTATTGAGGCAAACAGTTACACCGGCTCTTGCTACAACGTCCAACAAGGTTGACAAACACATTCGTCTTTTGCTGGATGCTTCTGGTCCGCGCTTTGTCCACCAGCGCGCTGTGGAGAAACAGATACTTGCCAGACGTGTTGGGAATCTGTGGATGACACATGCTTTTGCAGAGGTTCTCTTCCAGGTTGTCAACCATGCAAAGGTTTCTCGGTAGCAAAAAAGTACGATGGGTCTTTCTTTTTTCTTTAGCACTGGTAGGTTCAGATTTCTTACTGTCATGTACTATACCAAGACAGCTAACCAGTCTCAGGTGAAAACAACTTGGCCGCGTTTCATGATGCGCGCAGTGACAGGAGAAAACTGTCTGGCTAATCTGCTTCCAACACATACCAGCAGCTGGTGGCCAATGGTAGAAAATATTCTGAGTCTCAGTGCTCCGGCTACAAAAGAAATTCCTTGAAGCGTCGAGCAGCGTGCTACCGGAAGAGATGAGTACTCATACCTGTCAGTTGTTGGTACTTTTCGAGTTTGCTTTAGTGTGTTAGGCTAAGGAAAGTTCAACGATCCAGCAGCAGTGCAGCTGCAAATTCTATTTCATGTCGCAGATGCATTCGCAAGGTCATCTCAACCAAAGGCTGAACAGGCGCTGTCGTCGGTCTACTACCTGCTTCTGGAGAAGGTCCAGAAGAAATTGCAACTTGTATCACCACAGCTCTGCCCTACATAAAGTGAAGCATCTCGCTGTGGACGCGCCAACCGCCATGCTTGTTGAAGAGCTGCGAAAAGTTTTGCCTAGCCTGCAGGGGAATTCGCTTGATGCTACTCACATAGCAATGCGCTATGAAGAAAGCTCTGCAAGTCGGAAGACACAGGGCTCTATGCTACTCAGACAATTTTTGCATAAGTTTCAAGGGCGTGGCCCAAGGCTTGGTAGCGACATGTGGGGTCCAATGTTTGCAGGCAAAGACGCGAGGAGACTGTCTGCGCAAGAGGAAGGCTTACGGTTTACGCTCCCAGGTCCTAAGTTACCGGCAAAATGTCAGGAGCACGAGCTTCACGTGTCTTGGCCTCAATTGAGGAGCTGCTAGTGTGGCCAACACGGATACAATTCATCGAAGAGTTGGCTGCGCTGTCTTCTGCCTATTTCTCTGAATTGGGGCGGAAGCTTGAAGGAAGAAAATTAACGGTTGGCAAAATGTTGTACGCAGCATCAGCTCCAGATAAACTGGAGTGGTTGTTAACATATTGAGACATCGGCACCACCCGCATGCTCATGCCATCCGGCACTATCACTACAAGTAATGAAGCTTGGTCTAAAAGTTCCCCACCACGGGGGTGGCACGGGTTGATTTATCCGGTGTTGGCATTATATGTTGTCTGTTTGTCTCTGTCTTTGTACTCTGTACTCTGTACTCTGGTCTCTGTCTGTCTCCTTTCAACGAAAGGTGTGGGATGCTGTGTTGCTTGCCGAGCAACTCACAGTCCACCAGGAGAAAGTTCCCGTCAATGTGGCTACCGAAATCGAGGCTCGCCTCAGTGAAGCGTGCTGAAACCAAATGTAATTGGCCAGGGAACTGTACGTGTTTTGCTGTCAGTGCGATTGGAATCATGAGAGTCCAGAGCTGCTAGCCGCAGCCCGTGATTTGAACGGGGGTGCGTGGAACACTAAACTGGATCTTGAGGACTGCTTTGCCCATCTAGCTGCCATCAACAAAACCCACTGCAAATCAACACTGTTGAACAAATGACGAAGTGCCAAACTATGTGATTTATAGTTCGGATTGTCTGAGCAGTGTGTCTGACAGTGACTGACTGACTGTTTTTTTGGCCCACCGCTTGGCACCGTCGCTCCTGCTATATAAATAAAACCGTGGCCGGCCTGTGGGCATCCAATGTTGCCTGAGTGCCGACTGTACCTGAGGCAGCGGATGAGGAACGCGTACCATTCAAACTGATGTACGTTTTGTGCCATGAACATGGTGGGCTGCGGTAGGTCAGCCAGGAGTCTTGTCACGCTTCATGGAACACTTGCAAGAACGCTCTACGCCGAACCAGACTACAGCACGTTTCACTGCTGGCCAGCACAATCACCAACTGCCAGCACGGCCCTTTCAAGGGGGCTACGAACAAACAACATCAAACAACGAGTTGTAGAAACTGCATCGTACTGTTCGATGGTCGCTAATGAGGAAGAGTTCAACAATCTGCACAAGCTCATGTGTGATGACGGTGGTTTTGATATTGAAGTGGCTGAGGAGCAGGAAGATGATGAATTTCCGCGCAGTTTGTCAGACATTCCCAAACTGGATTGCGTCACTACATTGCCCCGCTTTGTCCCTTGATTCGGTATATCGAACGTGTAGTTAGTAGGCGTATTCAATACCTCAAGTCATGATTCATCACGAATAAACACCGAAATGAACCTGACCTGTGATAGATCCTCATTGGTTCATGTCAGTGTCACTGAGTCAGATTGACTCATCAATTCCACCAGTAGACATTGCAGATTCCATTCCATGACTATTCCGCAGACGGTCCGACCACCCGTCAGTCAGTGGACTCGACTCAAGTAAAGACCAAGTCCTGGTTTGCAGCAATAGCAGTTTTGGGCAAACCATGTGATCATTGGAGTCTCATGAGCACATTGTTCGACATTGCCCTTGCTGATCTGGAGTTTGACACAGCCACTAGCCCTTTAACCATAATTACATGTTGTTTCTTTTTCAGAACTTGTCCCTCAACAGACATGCCTAACTTGACTCATCTAGCCCGCCGTCGTCGCAGTTTTCGACCGTCAGGTACCGGCCGAAATGCCTTGGACATCGTCAAGGCCGCGGCCTCGGCGTCGGTCGTGGCGTCGGTCAGACGGGCCGAGTTCGACGCGGAACCGAGCAAGACATACTCACATGTGGCCCTGCAAACCATCAAAGACTTGGTTTTCCTTCGCAACAGATGGTCTAAGTTGCATGAGAAACCTGTTTGTTGTTCCTGGGTACGGATTGAGAAACCCCAGACCTCTCCAGAAGATTCAGGTGGGGCACCCACTGAGCGGTGGTTCCATGAGAATTTGCATCTCCAAAATCCGTTGGCAAAGACCACGATGCTTCATGGTGCACGTCGGGGCCCGACTTCTTGGGACATGGAGCAGAAACCCTAGGGCTGGCCATGGCACGGTTGGGGTAGGCTTTTGGAGTCTAACAGTCTAACTTTAACTGTCTAAATACCTTCGGAGGATGTGGGACAGGCTTTAAGGAAATCACCATCAAGATGATTGGAGATGGCACATGGTTTCCAGGAAGAGGTAGCTGTGGTCCTTGACTTGTCGGCACCAAGTTCCGGCACATTCCAATTGCTCGGCTGACGAAGCTTCCGGGACTTTCGTTCGCAGACCAAACATGGGTTGAAGGCATCCACAGCCGTTGCTTTTGGTTTGTTGAACTTGTTTTGTCTTATACCTGGATCTATACCGAACCTCTTCTATCAAATCGCGCCCCCCAAAATAGATGTGGCACCCTCAGAGGATCTATAAAGGGTTCAGATTCACATGTTCTAAGTATGCTGCGCCCTCGCTACGCTGGTGTTTCACCCTGCCGCCGTCCACACGACTCACTGTAGTACGTAGCGGGGCTCCCACCGTACGTGGGTTCTAAGATGAGGGGACACCCGATGAAGCCGGTACTTCATGGACCCCATCTGTTCAGTCAAACCGGACACGGACGCGGAAGAGTCCTTCAAAAACTTGGGGGTCCGGACCCAAATCTTGTGCTTTTTGAGGGACCGGTCGGGTTGTGAACTGGAGCGTTTGTGTTGTACCATGTTGTACCAATCTTTCCGAAAGATTAACACAAAAAAAACACCTCTTTCGCAGGTACCAAATCCAGGTTCCACGCAGCGCCCCCCCCCCTTTGGGGTTTGCTGCTCCCCGGCGGCGGGTGCTGTTTCCGGCGTCAGGGCAAGCGCCGCTGGGAGCTCCTTCAGTGGTTGACCGAGGAAGGCTCCGTCGGCAGTCCGAGTGGGGCGTGTTTGACCGGTGGAGGTGGCTTCGAAGATCACCTGGTTCTCTTCGGCCCATGTGCATCATGCAGCTAGACCCCAGAAGAGTTCGGTGGACCTGCGTGTTGTATAGTCTAAATTCCTTACATATTCTTTACCCTAAGAATACGTATGGGCTCACTATGGCAGGGGTCGGACCCACCTTCGCAGGGGTCCCGGCCCTCAAAACTCTCATTTGTTGCACCCAGAAGGATCGGTCTCTCTTTTGGAGGAGTCTGGGGTCTCAAATCCCTGGTTTGGAGGGACCAGTCGGGCTGTTTGGAGCCGGGTATACTTGGTATACTCTAAAATCCTTGTAAAAACGTTTGGCTAAAAAGACATTATATAAATCAATGGTGGGAAGCATTTGGAGTTGTGGGTCATGGCACCGGCAAACCCTTAACAGAGCAGATTACTATCTGGACCCTCCAAAGTACTCTAGAGAATGGGACATGACCCCATTTAAACAAAACAAAGAAACGAGTTTGGTACCCATGTGACCTGAGGTCGGATTCGATCCAGGTAGTATTGCAGGGAGCTCAACAGGTGAGCTCAACCCACAGCCATCCATTCCGCCGCTCCTTCGCCCTCAGAGGCCAGCCAGCTCGGACCGCATGGTCCTTTCAGCTGGCGCGGGCACCGGGGCGGGCGGGCGGGCCAGTGTGATTAAGTGGGGTAGGTGGAAAAGGGATCCAATTGTCCCAGTTCGGCTCAGAAAGGACCCAGCCCGTTCGCGGTCCGGGTGTTGACCTGTTTTGAGGGTGAAATGGACCGAACCAACATGTAGCAGGTTGGTCCATGAACATCTGGGCATGACAAATCTGAGGATTCTCCATTGAAAGGGTGTGCTGTAATCATTTGGGTGTGGATCTTTTACCCCATGGGTCAAGTTGAACAGATTCCTCTATATCGGGTCATCCCGAACCAACCAGCTGCTTCACGACCTGGATGTGTAGCGCTACACGTTCCCGTTCCCATGTTCTGCATGGTCGTTTTCGGCCAAACCGATCGACCCTTAGCGCCAGGGGGGGCAGAGATGCAACGAGGGCTCTCCCGGAGTTCGAATGCACAGCCCACATGTCACAAACACCCTTTGGCTTGAGGAGGGAGGCGCAAGTGGAACAAGATGGAAATGGGCCTTCCATGGCCAGAGCCCATTCTTCTGGGTATAGATACCTACATGGAGTCTCAAAATACCTTGGACAATGGGTAGAAGGACTGGTTGTTATAGGGTCAACATGGGTCAGCAACCAAAAAAATCGTGTGACATCATCCTGGAAGTTGAAAACCACCCATTTGGTATTCGTCTGACCTCGTCATCTTGGTATTCCCATGCCATCCACGTAACCGTAATGATGATGTCAGGGAGCGTGCACAGATGTTTTGAAAATGGGTTCACGGAGTGAATTCGCTGATGAAGAAGCAATAAGGATCAACAAGGTATTATTGTTCAAAAGGTTTGGGGGGGGTGTCCACAAGAGGCCAGCACTCCTTGAAACACATCAGACAATCCGCATCGTATATACTGTACACTGGATTTTGATGATATACTTAGTCTAGAGATTATAGGGATTCTAGCACTTGGTTTTTTAACAGCACTCTTAGACAGATCTAGATTGGAGAGGTCATGGGAGGATGGGCCAAAAGAAAGACACTTGGAAGTAGCTGGTATAGGAACCAGTAGGCCTGCTCCTTACCTTATTCTAGTTTCAGGGCATAATATGAAGTGTTAATTTCATGTGCACCAACAACTGAGGAGGTTATGAGTGGGTACTAAAACAGGGTGACCCCGGCCCAAACAAACAACTCCCCAAGAAACATACACAAAACACACCCCAAAAGTGGTAGAACTTCCCAGGCTCTGTGACCGCTCACCTTCGACACCCCCTTCGCCGCACCCCTCGAGGCGCACTGCTGCTGGGCCTTCTGCAGCGCCAAAAAGTGGCGTGTGGAGTGGGTGGTTCGGTCCTGATCACAGCTTCCAACAAGAGGAATCCCTAGGGATCCGTTTTCGTACCGAACCTCAGGTTCGGTACGACTGGACCTGACAATGGCACCTATATAACAGTGGAGACAACACATCACCGTACCTGAAGTTCGGTATGACTGGATGCCTAGGGAATGTGCCAATTGCATGGCGAGGGGGGTCGGTTTGCATCTGGTTTTGAGACCAGAAAGGTTGCTTGGTTTTTGGACTAGCGGTCGACTGATAGATTCACACTGAAGGCGGTGTATCCCCATGCCAGCAACTGCAGTTCCACGCAATCCACCGTGGAGGTATAGGTAGTGACACCGATGACGCAGTTCACCAAAACCGAAGAGCAGCTTCCCAGGCGGGGTCCTGGATCTTGGAAGGGTTCTGTAGTGACAGTTGACTGCCCTCCTTTTTCGCACTGACAGATCATGACGATTGACTGTAGATCACAGGAAGTTTGTTTTGTAGCATAACCAGAGTAAGTATGCCGCCTCAAAACTCATGTTATGACCGTCATGTCATGCGACGACTCATGACCGTCATAGCCCAAAAGTACCGTCATCCTCTTCGAGAATCTTCAGCGACCGTCACTTGTCCTCCAGAAATATCAGAAATCACCACCCACTGTGAAAATGTAATGACATGGCACTCCTTGATGAAGCACCAAGCACCTGCTTGCCGATCCATCTTGCCATGGTGAAAAGGCGAAAAGCACATTGTGTCTCCCGAGCTCAGCACGCCGAGCTGTTGCGAGGCCCAAATATATACAGGCACTACGGCATGGTTGCCACCGCGGTCTAAGCATTCCAGGCCTATCGGCCTATCATGGCCTATCAGCCTGCCTCCCAAAAAGACACATCAACCCTACCCTACAAGTCCAGTCTGACCCAGTAAAACACATGGTCGTTTGCATCCAGCAGTATTGGTTTTGTATGACCATCTTCAGTATTTCATGAGGTCAAGCTCACTTGTAGGGCCTAGGATTCCAAACACCAGCGATGAAAAATGGCATGAATCCGGAACCAATCATTGTTGTATACTAAGAGCAGCTCATTCCCAAACATGGTTGAACGGAAGGCTTTTGGGCGGCGAACGGGTATATGAATCAATAGCACCACATTATCCAAGCCGGCAAGATAGCACCACATTATGAATCAAAAGCACCACCTATAGGGTACATAGCGGAAGGCTATTGCTAGGTTTCTACTTCGGCTCAGGTCAGCTTTTTTTGGGACCCTTTCAAGCAAAGGACGAAACTGCATATGTCGCCTCAGTCCAGGGTCCACTCGACCATGTTCTCCACCAAATCACAACCCTCCCCCCCCAAAAAAATGCTTCGAAAATCAGCCCCCACATCCTCTCCCCTGCTCCACCCCCCAAAAAAGCAGAAAACGGGTCCACGGTCCAAGACCAGTCCCCTCCAGCCATGGCCTTCGCGACCGCCGCGGTCCGCCTGGCGGCCCTGGCGGCTTCCGTCCATGGAGACCCGGCGCGGAGCGTCGGACGGAGGCGTGAGGAACGCGTTCGGCCTTTCCTTCCGGGTCCCTCAAAACCATTCAAAACCGGTATCCTATAGTTATGGATAGTTCTGGGATGTTATGGGTTATTATACTTAACAGTGGACTTCTTTGAAGTGAACTTGGCTCCAAAGACATGATTCACCTCAGCTCGTAGAGCGTCCAGGGCCATCCGTGTCGTCCTGCTGTCGGCGCCTTCGTTTCGTTCGACCATCGCCTCTGGTTTCGTTCATCCTCACCTCCGTGCGTCCTTCCGAAAAGGAAGTCTTTGGACCTTATACTGGTGAGAACCCGCAGACACTAGGGTCCAGGAACAAAAATGGGTCAAAGGTCCAAAACTGGGGGACAGCTCAACTTCGGAGCTTCGGGCAGCTGAAAGGCTCCGGACCCTCGCGGACGGTGCCCTCACGGAGCGGCTTGGGAGGCTTCCCGAAAAGGTTCGTAGACCGATTCTGAGGAGATATTTCCCTAGGGATCCAGTCGAACCTTCTCAGAAGGTGTTTGGGGTGGGTTTGGAGGGTCCAGGCGCCTTCTGAGAAGGTACTTTGATCCCTAGGGTTTGAGGATCAAGCAAAAGGACGGGGACCCTGGAAGGTCTGAACACCCATGATGATGCATATTCTGGCGCCAAGTTCGCTGCGCCTTTGGGTACGGTGGCTTTTGGATGCTTAGATGGTGTTTTCCATAGGTCATAGATGGTCATAGCCTTAGCTATACTAGATAGATCTTCCAAGGGTGCAAAATCTCTGCCCTTTCATCTACAACTATATAGCCAAGTTCGGCAGAAATAGATAGAAATACTTGCAGGAAGATCCAGCTATGAACACCTTGCATGGGTCGTCGTTCTGTTGGTCTACTCCGATCCCGCCGGTCCCGTCGGTCGGAAACACCAAGGAGACGATTTGAACTTTGAACCTGCCGGAGACCTGGGGGGTTCACCCATGGGTGCGGTGGTGTACCGTCGGTACGTGCACCGTCGGTACCGTGGGTTTGGAGTCCCCGTCAGTGAGTGGATGTGATAAGAGAGCTCCCAACTCCATGAAACATGATGAAACTGCTGTTAGTTATGTCCTTTTTTTTGCGTTTTTTGTATGTGCATGGTTGGCTTCGGGTGATCTTCTAGAGGATCCATCAATAGGCACCACCGTGGTGCCGTGTGGACGCTCGACACCGTCCGTGTGGGTCACCATGGCACCGGAGGGACCGACGAACGAACGACGGAGGTCAACCTATCAGGGTCGAACGAAGGGCCAAGGGTGACGACTAAGAGGAAATGAACGTCGCACTGATAGGCCTTGAGTTGGTAGGTTTTTTCTGAGCAAACAGTGTGAACTGCCACGTTTTGGATGGGAAACTGAATCGGACTGACTTCTACTCCGGGGCCGCTACGGCTCCTTTGGTACAAGCTCCATTGCTACAAGCGTGCTATTCTTCTAATTTAGCTATCAATCGTATGAATGGACATCATCGAAAGACAATAGCCCCGGGGCCCCTATCGATGGTCTTGTTTGTCGTTTGCATTTCATGGGTATCCCTCAACGCTGTCCCTGTAACATGAGCCACACCACACCATACAAAAGAACCATCCTGATGTCCCAAATGGCCCCCAGTTCGACCATTCTCAGAATTCGGTTCCAATTCTGACCTGCCCATTCTCAAGCAACTCACCAATTGCTTCGCGACCACCGGCCACCGAACCAACTTGCTTCGGGCCGGTGCTTCGGTTCGGTCCCAGCGATGCGGACGTCGCCACTACGTCGTTCAAAAGAGCTTCTTTTGGAGGAGGAAGAATGCATTGCATAAGTATACCCAGATACTCCATAATATGGAATATGTGCATACATTGGGGTGGTTTCAGGGGTGAATGTAGGTAAATAGGCCATATATGGATCGGAGTGTTTGGGAAAGAAGAAGCCTTTGCAGCCTTTGGAGAGGATTTGAGGCCTAAAGTGTTGTTGGATACTTGGAGATAAAGCGTTTGCCAAGGGGTAGTTGTTCCGACAAAGATGCTAAGCAATTTGTAGAGGGAACACTTCTTCGATTTGGACACAAAATGGCTAGCTTTCCTTTTTCAGGGTCAACACTCTCATGATCATTGCCATCCAAATTCGTTTGTATAAAACAATTTTGTTTCGGCAGGATGCTAAAATGAAACGGGTGTCAACGCCAGGAAGAACGAAGGGTTTCCCAAGCTTGGTAGCATGGCAGATTGTATCCGGCTGAGCCAACGCGTTGCTCAGGTGCAAGTGACATCCCACTGCCACAAGGGGCAATGGTGCCCTGGCGCAACGTGTTCCATGGACGGGGCAGAAACCCCTGGTTCACAGCCAGTTTACTCTCTCAGCATCGCCGGAGGAATGTCTGGATTCCGGGCGGATGTGGCGGGTGGAATCCGGAATCAGAACCATTCCCTGAGGATCGAAACGTATGCATATCCTGAGATCATTTCTATTTGTGACCTATTTGTGGTCATGGATCGTCAGGGATTGTTTTGCTATGACTTGAGACTGCAAAACCAGCTCGCTTAACCAGGTGGTGCATGTTCTGCGATCCGAGTTCGGAAAGGCGAACAGGGGGAACCGGTGAAGACCCCAAAGGGAGTCAGGAGATGTTCGACTGCATCATCATCCGATGTTCTGAACTAGACCTGGTACCTTCGACTGCATCTCAGGTGCCCATTGCCCGAGAACTTCTTGTCGGCCAGTGAAGCATGTGAATTTGCGGTGCTGCGGGTCAACGAGATGCGCCAGAAATGCCTCTTGGGCGACGAGATGCGCGACGCGACTGGTGTGCGAGTTCGTCGCGCGCCGGTTTTCGAGCACGAGCCAGCGAGGGAGAGGGAGACCCATGATGAGGGAGAGAGGCCGATGAGATGCAGGGCAGCTTTTGGGGTCTTCATTCGACCCCCAAAGAATCCATACGACCATGACCTCTTTTTCGCCGGGGAACAGGCCCTCTTTTCCGGATCGACACTCACCAAACCGACCGTCCATGGGTTCGTAGTCCGATCGTCCCTCAAAGTCCAAGCACGATATTTCAGGTCGCATGTTGATTCCAGAAGAAAGCGAAACAAAGCCCTCCAATCTGTCAAGGCCGTTTTGTAGGGGCCTTGGTCATTTTGTACACATGTGTGGACCAAGATGCTATTTTCTACCTTGATCATCCTTGATCCATTTTAAAACATTTTAAACATGTTTTGGGACGTCCAGGGGATTGCCACAACTGCACACTTTGCCTATGGTGGTCAAGTATAGTTTCAAGAAACTACAGTCCTGGATCCACTTCCAGGCGATGCGGGGGGGGAGAGAGAGAGAGAGAGAGCCTTGGGACGTGTGGTTGCGATTGTCGATGTGGTGACATTATAGCGTCCCACAGTCCCACATTGAAAGAAAAAGAGTTTGCCACCTGAGGGGCTGTTCCAATAAACGCAACTCTGCCCGGTTTTGTTGGCGGCCTTTATTGGAAAGTGTTCGCCGGAGACATTGGAAACAGGAGATATATTGAGCCGATACTGAGCCGGAACTAAATTAGAAATCTTTGAGAGGCACACACCTGCACAGTGAATCACAAGAAACATCAGAACAGATTTTCAAGGTGCAGTATCAAAACTAAGATGAGAACACACAAGCTAGCAGAAAAGTACATGTTCTTCTTTGGCCGTGTGGTTGTGGTTGTCGGCGTGGTGACGTTTTTAGCGCCGCGCAACAAAAGAAAAGGAGATTACCGCCTGAGACCAACCTGTGTCTTGGTTCAGGCGGTGTTTGAATAAACAAAACTCTACCCGAAATGTTGCAACATGTTGCAACTCGTTTTCTTCAAAGTTGCGCCCGGAGACTTAAGAAGCAAGAAGATGACACGCCAAGCACAAAAATAGAAGAGGTTCTTTGGCACGTGCCCGTCCTTCAGAAAAACGCAGAACAGATTCCAATGCCGTGTGACACGTGTTTAGAATGATCGGCCGCAAACACAAATGAGAACTCAAAAGTACTTAAAACGATGTTAAACGTACTTTTTCTAGATTGGGCTGTTGGTTGTGATGGGGTGAGATCTGGGGTTCGCGACCCCAAGGCCGAATGCAAGAAAAGAATTGCCGCCTGAGACCAACTTGTGTCCTTGGTTCAGGCGGCTTTTGAAAAAAAACACTCTCTGCCAATTGTTTTGTGGCGTGCATTTTTCAGGGTAATGGCCGGTGACGTCAAGATCAGAGAAGACACACGCCAAGACGAAAATAGAAAAAGGAAAAGAGTACTTCGCAAGCACTTTTCCAGATCGGGCTCCAGTGGAGAGAACAGTTTCAACCGCAGGTTTTCGTTGTTTTGTGAAAAAAGGCAATCGAAGTCGGAGTACCTTTGCCGGATATCACGAGCCTGGCCGTGTTGGGTGGCAAGACCGAAGGTGTTGCTGAACAATGTGCACCATGATGGTGAGGTGCTTGCGGGAGTCGCGGCGGAGCTGTCAAGCAAAGCGGGTCGGACGCAGTTTATTGAAGATGTCCCCATTTGAGTATCCACTGACGGCTCCAATTTTTCCCACTGTTTGGCAGACTCAGGTTTGTTCTTGTAGCGCTTGTCGCTTCGGCACTTGTAGCTGGATGGCTGCCACAACCATCCTGTGGAACCTCATCCGTCATGGGCACGCGTTGGGCAACCTCGCAGGAATCCATCGTCAAGTGGCCTTGGATGTTGGTTGGTCAGACCCCACAAAGGTAGAGCCGCGGAGGTCGCAGAGGCCAGGTTGGAGAAACCCACCCACGGTAGAGGCGCCTCCAGTTGTGGATGGCGCTGTTCTTGTTGTTTTGATCTGCAGCATATTCCTCTTTTCTTTTTCACGTTATCTTGCGAAGAAGTCTTGTCATTGGCTCGTTTTTTGGCATTGCTTACTTGGGGGCCTTTTTTCCCCACCTGTCAGGTGAGGGCTGTTAAAGTTTTATGTCAGCTGCCTCGCGTCTTCTCCTCCTCCGCACCCTCCTCCTCCTCACCTCCTCAGCCGCCAGCTCCCGACAGCAGTGTTCGCGAGTCAGAAGATATGCCAGTTAGAGCACCAGAAAGAAGGTCAGAAGATATGCCAGAAAAATTGTTGCAACACATGCCGAAAATTTTGTCGGATTGAAATGTTGTGGTGGGGATCACTCGAAGTTTATGCTTGAGCTAAGTGACTCAACCACATGCACGCCCACGGCACGCATCACACACATACATTCCACATTATTCCACACACACACACACACACACATGTCCACAGAGGCACACCACTAGCACCGCAACACATTTGCATTATCTCCGACAATTGTTCCTTTCCGTTACACGTCTTCTGTCTTTGGGCTATTTTCCGTCGCAATGGCTTTGTCCTGGTGCGACGTATCGGACGACGACATGTGGAGTTTGGAGGCGAGGCTTCGTGTCATACCTGGAACATGACAGATTGGGTAGGTCATGAATGGCAGGAGCTCACAGAGATGTTTGGCACCGAGGCTGAGCACTTAGTGGTTGGAGGCCACTGATTTTGGAAATTAGAGCCAAACTTCGGCCGGCGGCAGCCAAGCTTGGCAACCTGGACGTCGTCTGGAAACGTTTGGTGCCTCAGCGGCATAAACTCGTGCCCTTAACCAATCAAACAAAATCTGCACACGGCCGCCAAGCTTGGCAACCTGGACGGCGTCAATTTGTGCCTCAGCGGCATAAACTCATGCGCTGAACCAATCAGACAAAATCTGCAAGCTATTTTGCTTTAAGGGCCCCGGGTCTTATCAACCCAACCGGTTCCTGTCCAACAAGGAGCGCGCAGTGCTCACGCGTTTCAGAAACATTCAAAAGTATGAGACACAAGAAATCAGAAGCTTGTCGTTTTGAACTTTTGCGTCGAAGCACAGGAACCGCATCGCCCACACAGCGGTGCCGAAGGCTTTGGATCAGAGATCCAGCAGACTTACCGGAGACGAGAGAATGGATGTCCTATTTTGAGTTCGCTATTCACGGCGTTTGCGGCTGCATTCAACTCGATTCTCTTGACGACGATGACTGGGATAGAAATAAAAAGGCAACAACGCTGACAGCGACTAATTCTAACTAAATCCGATCTGTCTTTTTTCTCTTCCGCCCATGTTTCACTGCTAACCCGCGGACAATCCGTCAACTCGGCGTAGAGAGAAAAATCTTTTCACTTGCGGATACTGACAACTTGCCGCGCCAATGTATAGTAGATATTAATACATGATTCCACACAACCCACACCACTTCACACAACGAGCACTCTACACCACAACACACACACCCCTACATCACACACCACACAACGCAACAGAAAACACAACGCATACTGTACTACACACCACGCACCCCAGCAACACAACACGCACACAGCCACGCATACACACACAACAGCAAAACAACAACAGCAGCAACAACAACAACAACCAACAACAACAACAACAACAACAACAACAACAACAACTACCACAACCACAACCACAACCACAACCACAACCACAACCACCACCACGACACACGGCACACTGCGCACGGCACACGGCACACGACACACGACACACGACGACAACAACAACAACAACAGCAACAACAACAACAACGGCAACAGCAGCAGCAGCAACAACAACAACACACAACGCTTACAACAGTTGACATGCAACAGCACACAACACACCACACAAAATATACAACAGATAACGCGCAACCACATGCACCAACAGATACCACACAACCAAACAACACATACACAATTAACAAGCACAAAGCAGGTCACCCCAATTCCTCTGTCATTAGCCTTTCCATTCTCTTTGTTTCCACACTCTTTTCTTTTGCCAAGATGTGGGGGTATCCGGTCCTTAGGTGAATCCGTTGGGGGAGTACGGCCTTTTTGTTTGGAGTCTTTGAGCAGAAAGATCTGACAGGGTTTGAAGCTTTGCAAAAAAACAAAGCTGAGTATTGGTGTCACTGGTGTCCAAAGCCTTTACACACATTGCTCTTCTGAAGCTTTGCCCATGATCACTTAACTCTTGGCAAACTCCCTTCAGAGTCACTACCGTAACCGACCGTAACCAACCGTTTTTGTTTTTGCACTCTTTGCATGGAGCCTTTTGCTTTCGCATTGATGCCAGCCCCTCCCATATAGATACCAGGTCTCGAGGCGTTTTTCCCTTCGTGGATCACGGATGATCACTGGCCCTTCACCTCCAATGGGAAGGTCTATTTTTCCCAAGGATCAAGACCCATGGGACTGGAACATTTGCCGATCAGTTGAGGTTAAGATGTTTTCAGGGTCAATGTAGGTCAACCCTGGGATTCAAAACTGTTGTTATCATGGCCTTTACCGAAGAACCGGACTTGTGTTATTTTGTAAAAAATGTCTTAGACTACAGAACCCAGGTCTTTCCCATTGTTGTTCGATGGTCGGTTCCGGTGCACCGCGTCCGACACGGGATCGCCCAGGTCATGGCTTCACCTTAGCACCGATCCGACGGCAAGACTACAAGGTGGCCGGCACGGTGCGCAAGGCCTGGGAGCATCGAGGTAAGGAAAGCGTCGTGTTTAGATGGGACTGGAAGGTGACCATGGTGTGTGTCCTTATGACCTATAGCGGTCAATACATAACAGATTCCCAGATGCGATCCTGGACCCTCCTAAGGGGGGGCCGGACCCGAATTCTATGGAGGGGTCCGGACCCACCAAAAGGGGTTTGGAGCGTTTGGGTTATACCTTTTTTGAAAAAGGCCTGCAACTGAACCATCATCATCCACTGGGCCCACTTCTGGGCAACAGATAACGATTCCGACGTCGAGGACATGGATGGATACTCCGTGTACAAGCTGTTGCTGGAGCCCATCAACAAGTTCGTGCCGCACCTGGGCGAAGAAAGTTCGTAGAACGAACCCCCACCATTGATTGTAATGAAACCGAAACCCGAAGAAGGGTGATTGGTCAACTACTAACGCCATGTCAAGCGAACTGTTTGAAGGGTCTTCTTGGGGGGGTTGACTGGGTATAAGGACTTTTGTCCACCAGAAAGGGTATATTGACAGCCCTCATCCCAATACCATCCAGTGCCCCTGGCTTCGTCGTTTTGGGAGGAGGATGTGTCGGCCGTGAGCAAGTTGAGATGCACAAAACCTGACCCGATGCCATGTTTATCTATGGTTTTTTTCCGGAACTGGAACGCCAGCAGAAGTCGGGGACCATCCACCAGTCGGGACTGGTGGCCAACCATTTCAGCCCGGAGAAGGGGACGTTCTCATCGCGAAGGGTCTGTGGCCTCGGGCCACCGGGGTCTCCGGATGATTTTTAGAGTGTACTTCGACTCGACCCAAGAGGGCATCCATCCCCAGTCCCACCAAACCGAGACATACCAGCACCCGACGACCAACAGGTCTCCGAGGGTTGGAGGGTTGTTGGGCCCTAAAGAGGTCGGTGACCTGGCAAGTTTCGGGTGCTGGTATGTACTCTCCCTAGGGCTCCAACCACACCCGTTTCGAAGGTGGTTGGGGTGGGTGCCAGGGGGGTCCAACCACCTTCTGAGGATATGGTTGGAGCCCTAGGGTCTGATGCTAAGTGCCCTGTGGTATGAAGAGGACATCGACCTCTTCGCCCGACCGGCGACAGTGTTGCGGGTATATGTCGCTGGCTACACTCACGCGCGCTCGAAACTTGCGGGTATGTCGGGTTGCGAACTGGACTCTTTTGGCACCACTGAATGTTTATTGTCCTTAGTTCTCAGGCTTCTCAGGTCCTTCCCAGTCACTCAACTTGAGATCTCAGAATAAGGTCACTCAAGTCTGTAAAAGGGACACCTGCCAATCCTGAAGTTCGGTCGCGGCAGGAAGGTCCCGGTACGACTGGGGCCTCCTTTTCCGAGGTAGACCAACAGGTCAGCTCGTCCTCGCACGCACCCACTCCCACCTCGAAGAGTCGGTAGACCAACTCGTCCTCGCGTTATCGTCGAGCCGAGGACCTCGGTGGAGATCGAAGTGGCTCATTTGCATCGGATCACGGATCTGTCCATTTTTCAGGCGCGCTGAAACAGAGCCAGCGAGCACCCGCGGGTTCTGGGCGCTGGGCGCGGCGGACCCGGCGATCCGGTTCTTTGTAGAAGAAGAAAAAGGTTACATGACCTATATCCCAGACACTCCATGTATGAAAAATATGCCTACATTGACCCCTTTTCAATGTTTGTGAATATGCCATACATGGGTAATTAGAGTGTTTGGGCATATAAATAAAACAGGTACAACTAGCACATATCCAGTTTGGGTAGTGTATATGACAACCCTGACTCTGAAATGTCGATCCAATATTGCTTATATACAAATCCTGGCTCGTAATGGATGGTGCCGGCACCATTTTTCGATGTACAAACGGAGAGTCAGGTGGTGTTTGTGTGTTGCATGCGTTGATTTTCGTTGTTGGTCGTGAACCACAGGCAGAAAGCTGTGTCACACAAAGACCGTGTTGCCTGTCACAGGCGGTGTGATATACACCGTACCCGAACGCCTACGATGGTGGTGCCAATAGACCTGGATCCTCCTTTGGGCTGCAAAAAGAATCCGGACCAGTTGGAAGTCCGGCGCCTTGTCACCTGTAAAAGTGCCGGACTCAAAATGACTCACGGTATGACTCACGGTATGACCTACATTCACCCCAAAATAGACCACTCATGTAGGCTATATTTGTAGTTCCGAGCCCTTTGGGTGGTACAAGCTATAGCAGTGAGCTGAGGCAGACCCGCGGAGGCATGTAGCAGAGGCATTAAATACTCTCATGAATCTATCCAGCATCAGGTGCCCTGACATGTCCACCCCCCTGAATTTTATAGGTCAGACTGTTAAGAGGTGTAATGAACAATTTTAATGTGAAAGGGATGGTCTGATGCTGTTCAGCCCGAAACTGAAATGAAAGCCCGGTGTTGGTCCGGTTTCGGTGTTGGGTCAGTCATGGTCAGTATGGCTCCCCTCCGAAGTGGAGCTTCAGTCGGGGAGCGATATCAACCTGCATCTTCCCAGTGATCCTGTAGTCTGAGGTCACCAACAGGCCTGCAAAAGGTCACTGGATGGGACTCCAAAAAGGTTACCCTGGAATGAGTCTTTCTTGTGTGAAAGTAAGGAGGTCTCGTGGTTGAGGGCCTGCCCTGTCTCGAATAGATTGAATAGATGCAGAGCAGTGGGTCTGCCCAGCCATATTCTATCCTACCCAAAGGCTCAGAGTTGTAGAGTCTTGACCCTCACAAGGTGGGTGGAAAGGACTGAACCAACATGTATGAGGGGACCACACCACAAAAGACTCATGGAAAGCACCACACACCCCAGCGACCGAACTTTGGAAGTCCCATCCAGCGAGCGACCGAACTTGAAGGCCTCTCTTGGACCGGGTTCGGTTCGGGTTTGGGACCCCTCCTGGCCCCGGTCCCTGAACGGAGGGTCCAGGGTCGCGTCTGGGTGGTGACCTCAAATCTAGCAGATTCAAGTTCGGTCACTGGGAAGATGACAAGGAGCCTCAGGGCAGCACCTCAGAGATCCTCAGAGCCTCAGTGTTCCGGCCAAATCATGTGGACCATCCGCTCAACCGGAGTGCTCATTTTCTGCGGGATGGAACATCTGTCAGGTAGGTTATAAACCACCCAGTTCTTAGGTGGTGCTGGAAAAAGAAGGTCCTTCCTTCTCCGAGCCCTATATTCCAACCTTCTCAAACCTGTACTTGCCAAGCGGCCGCCGCCGCCGCTCTGAAATTGCATCTATTTGCACCGACCTGGTTTGTTCATTGTCTCCACCCTTTTCGGCGCGCCGAAAAAAGGCGGCCTCCAGGTGACCAAAGTGAAGCCTGCGGCGTGTAGCCTCTTTAGCCCCTCGTCGTGAAGCGATGCCTGGCCCGAATCCTTACGGGTCCTCCATAGCAGGGGTTTGGACCCTCAAAGGGTAGCTTCAGCTACCTGAGTTCTCCTTGCTTTAGCAAAATGTATTACAATCTGGAGTTGGAATTGTGGATTGAGATTGGTCCTGTAAGAAGGGATTCTTCTTCATAGGGGGGGCCCTGTGTTTGCCTTTTACGAAAGCCAGCCTTCGTAGAAGGCGCCAGCGGAGTTGTGTTTGGCGAACGAAGTGAGTAGTTAGGGGGTCTGGGGGGGGTGGCCGGCAAAAGGTACACGTAAACTCGGCACATGCTGGGGGAGGAGGGTGCGTGGAGGGAAGGTTTTTTGAGGTTGTGTTGGAGGTGATTTTTGAGGGGTGGTGATGCAAGAAATGCAATTTGCATCATTTGCATCATCTGAATGGAAAGGTGTAGTTGGCACCTTGCCAGGCTTGCTTTTGCTCAATGTGATTTTTTTTTGGCAGGGTCTTGATTTCAACCGGGTGCACCAGTGGACATGTCGGTGAATCGTCGCTGCGTCAGCCGCCGTTCGACAGGGGTCACGGCGCGGGGGCGGGGGGGTCAGGCAGTGTCGTAGACAACCTACTTCACAAAGTTGGCAGAATAGCTCACAAGACCAAGATGTGGTAGAGCTCAAGTCAAACTGCAGTCCAACCACTGATTTCATTTTTATGTTCACATTTAGTCGGCGCGACGGCGATGGAAGATGCCATCAGAAAGCTCATTGCCCGGAGTCTCAATCATCACAGAGAGAGAGAGAGAGAGGGACGGGGCGAAGGCGCTTTCTCAATCACCACAGAGAGAGAGAGAGAGAAAGAGAGAGAGAGAGAGAAGGACGCGACGAAGGCGTTTTTGGTCACACAGTGTTTGTATCCGTTGGCTGGGCTCAGGCTGGCTCAACCAATGAATGACTGCAAGGTTTGACAAAGGTCACTATTCCTCCCAAGCTCAAAGTAATCGAAAGTATAAAGGCCACTAGTGCTCCAAAACCAAGGCCACTAGTGAAGTTCACATGCGCACTTGCCATTCGGAGGGTCTGTGTGCATTTCAGGGCCGGGCTGCAAGCGCTTGTGCTGCCATGGCTGAGTTCAGCGACTTCAATGCAACGCATGCCAACAAGGAAGCGATGGACAAGATGGCTAAAGCATTGGCAACTTGAAACACTTGGTCAGTCCAATTTTTCATTTTCCTTTTGCTTTTATTTCTGAGGGGGTATTTGATCTTCCCTTTGCATCCAGAGCCGAATTGGATCATTTTTCCCAGGGTCAGTTGCAAGCATGCACACGCAAAGGAAACCATCACGAAGCGGGACTTGCGATTCGGATCCTCGGAGAGGAAGTTGAATGTGGCAGAGCTTCCGGCTAGCGACACCCACATGACTGTGATCACTCCAAAGCTGCTGGAAAAGGCTTGGAAGAAGGAGACCGGTGAGGATCCAAGCAAGTCTGTGAAGTTCACTTTGAAGGGTGTTGGAAATCCATTTGTGCCTTGGTGAGTTGGCATCCAAATTTCCACCAGTTTTGGCAAATGGGGATTGTATAGTATAATAATGCCACCTGCGGCTTGGTTGTGTAGATCCAACTTTTTGCTGGGCACTTGAGGCTCTGATGGATTGCACCCGCTTGGCCGCTCCAGCAGGCACTCTTCGGACAGCTGCGGTCGATGAGCTGAAGGCTCACTTCTTTGGTTCGCCAGCGGCGCTTCCAGACACGCTGCAGCTGGAGATGATTGCGAGGAGCAAGGAAGAAGCCTGCGGCAAGAAGCCCCTGATCAGGCCAGGCTTTCCTCTCACAGTGACAGCCTTTCTTTTAGTCAATACTTGCGAGTTAAGAGGTACCTTTTGCATGTGCCCGCTGGAAATTATTCTTCCTAGCCCTTCCCGGTTAAGAGTTTCTGTTTGGTGTCAGGTTTTCAGAGGATGAGCCTTGGCTGGCCTTCTTGGAGGCAATCGCTGAGAGCATTGGGCGCGGCGAGGAGGCGGAGTGGCTGCGCTTCATCCTCTCCGTCCCCATGACGGTCATCGTGAATGCAGACCTGTCTGATTTGGATCTGGAGAAGCAGAGAGTCGTGAAGTCTGAGGAGATTCAAAAGGCAAGGGGGCTCTTAATGTAATTTGCCCGAGCGCCACTACCTGGAACGCCGAAGTTGCCTATTAATAAAGGCCACTTTCAGAAAACCTGCGACTTTCAGCAAGTATCAGGGAAAGCCGTCCACTTTGGATGAAAATAGTGAACTTCCTATATATAGCCATTCTTGGGGGATTTATACCAAGTTTGCTCACCTTTGCCGCGCTCTTCCAGGTATTGGCCGTGGCCATTTTTCTCACCTCTCATATATTAGCAGTCATTTTTATGCTAACCGACAACCTTTTCTGGTATATTGTGTAGGACTGACTTTGAGAGACGCGAGAGATGTCTCAGTTCCAAACACAAGACGGAGAAAGATAGCCAGGTTGCCAAAGACCGAGGGTAGGACCCAAATACCCCATCATCATCGAGACTCAAATCCCCAGCGCCTTGTGCCCTATGAGCTCTCCGAGATCTATCTCAAGGACTGACTGTTCAATGAACTTTTTCTTCTTCTGTGACCAGCTCGAAGGGTGAAATGAGATGCGCGGTGCTGTCTATATGCGGATCCACTCATAACAAGTTTCATGGTCAACTGCAAAGTGTACATCTACGGTCAGGATTGAGGTATATTGGGGTCAATCATGCGAGGATCCTCCGCTCTGCGCCCTGCTTGCCAAGCCCCTCATGGTGAAGCTGGCTGATTGTCCTGCGTGCGACCGGGGCGACGCTCATGTTGAGATTGCCATAGTTGTGGTTCATGTGCATAAAGCCAAAGAGAATGCATGCCACACATTAACTTCCAATATATATATATATATATATTAGCTGGCTCAAGTGTTGGGAGATTTTGTGAAAAGCTTGTGACTTCGTACTTCGTGATGGCTGGGGCTGGGGATTTGGCAGAGCGGTGGGAGCAAAATACTATAATCCGGAGAAGGTTGCAAAGGGGAGTGCCATTTGTCCAGTGGCCTATTCCCATGCGGGAGTCAGAGAATGATGAAGATAAAGAACTTCATCCAATTTGCACCAAAGCTGTGGAACTGAACTGCCAAGCATTGATAGAAATGGTAGAGCATTTCAATGGTTGCTTTAGCGACGTGGTTCAGCTCGAGCATGAGGCTGGGGGAGTCATGAGTCGGAGTGTGAGTGAGCATGCACATGTGCTTCGTAGCATGCTCGCGTCACGGGCTGCGCAGGTTGTCAAGCTCTACAAGCTTTGCAGCTACCAGCCCAAAAAGAAGGAGTCGTACACGGCTGTGTGGGACCTCCGCAGGCTGTACACGTACAGCTTCAGAAGACAACTTGATGCTTTTAAGCGCAATCAGGTCCCACGGGACTGGGGTATCAAAAATTGTGTATCAGCTGCTTCGTATTTTGGTGTTCATTACATAATTATTATATACATAATTCTGGAAAAAGAATCCATATCAAGACTCCATGGACTCTTGCACGTATCCCCTGACAGGACAAGGGTGTTCAAACTCTCTTCAAGCTCATTGCGGAGTATCGAGCGCAATGGACGCACAAAGTGCAGCAGTGGGAGCAGGACCAGGCCAATGGTCCTGATGATTCACCGGCTCAGAGCCTTCATGACGTGGATTGCTATATGAATGAGGCCGAGGTCCCCGCAGAGACGTCTGAAAAAGACAGGCGCAGAAGCAGAACAATTCGGTACCATGCAGCCCGCGAATGCTTTGCTGATGCATTGTCGGAAGAACTTGATGCAATTGTCAGGACGCCCTCGGCGGACATTCTCTTGTCACCAGAGCAGCACGCAGAGCTCATGCAAGTCTTGGCTGGCATTCAAGCCTTGGAAATTGGCGATCCGCTCCACAAGTGCCAGCCTGAGATTATACTGTAATTAGTTCAACTCTTGAACTCAGGCAGTGTTGTTTGGGTGTGCTTCACCCATGCCATTGACATAGCAATTTGTTTTGATCATCCAGTTTTGACCAGGAGGCAACAAGCGCCATGCTGTGCTAAGCCTGCGCTTGGCCACTTGTCTTTTGTGATCGTGCTCAACGGACAGGGGCATGTGCACCATGATTCTGTTTCATCCCTCACGCCCGGCATTGCGGATCCTAGGAAATGCTCCCGCGACCGCTTCCTCAACAGTGGATCCAGACCAGGCTAGGTTGGAACCCTGCTGTTTACACTTGAGCTGGGGGGAGCTAAGCATGGGCAAAGATAAGTATACTACTATCCCAACTGAGCTTGCGACATCTTATCGAAACATGACATAGTTTTTGTGTTTGGACCGTTGTTTTGTTAGATTTCTGCTGCAGTTGGAGACGCAGCCATTGGACGCGGATGAAGGGCAGATCATGACCACTCCCAGCCCTGCGCCACTGAAGCTATGCGATGGCACCCCCCCCAAGGCACATTCCATTTGTGGTGGTTCACAATCCCCTTGCAGTGCTTTTGTGATATTTTTTGATAGTTTTTCAGATTGAGGCTTTCAAGATTGTCGCTTCACTTCTTGTTCGCAGGTGGACGCTCCAAAGATTTCGCCTCAGATGCAAGCAAACATGCGCACTAACCAATCCAAATTGCTCAAAAAGGGGAGGAAGAAGGCTGGGAAGGGAAAAGGGAGTGGGAAAAGGGGAGGAAACAAACAAACAACCGTGTGACCCGCAGCAAGCGCAAAGTCATGAAGCGTGGGCTGAAGCCCAGAAAACCTGCAGGATCCAAGAACAAGAAAACAAAGAGGCCAGATTTGCCAAAGTCAGAGACAAGCACAGCGGCGAGCTCAAGTGAGCTAGCTGCACCTCCGTCAACAAAGGCGCCAAAGCCCAAAGCCCACAAGTCCAAGCGTAAGGCTGTTGGTACACCACGTGTCCGATTAGACGGTGTCCGGCAGGGACGCATCAACACGGGTAAGGGTTGGGTCTATGAGGTTTTGCC